TGTTTGGGTGGAGCCGAAATCCCCCCATGGCCCCCCACCGCGGGAAAAAAAAGTAAAAAACTTTCCAAAAAAAAAAAAAAAAAAAAAAAAAAGAGAAATGAAAGTTTATGTGTGCCAAAAAACTTACACGGGAGTGTTTGAAGCCACATTATTCATAATAAGCACAAACTGAAAATAATTCAAATGTCCATTAACTGGTGGATAAAGTAAACGTAGTAGATCTGTACAATGGAATGCTGCTCAGCAATACAAAAGAAACAAACTACTGATATTTCCATATGAATAAGCATCAAACACATTATGCTAAATGAAAAAAGCCAGACACAGAAGGCTATATATTACACACTTCCATTTATATAAAATTTCTAGAAAAAGCAAATCTATAGAAATAAAAAGCAGATCAGTGGTTACTTGAAGCTGAAGGTGAGCATAAGAAAGAACTACAAATGGATACAAGAGCATTTTATGCGTTGAAGAAAATGTCACAAAACTAGATGGTATTGATGGCTGTTACATCACTCTCTACATTACATTTACAAAATTAATTAAACTGCATTATCTTGGGTGAATTTTGTGCATGTAAACTGTATCTCCACAAAGCTACTAAAATTAAGTAAAAATGAAAAAGTACTAAAAGAGAAATAGAAAAATTAATATGTGTTTATTAAATACTGCAGAAGCAAATGATGTGGGAATGAACAAAAAAAGATAAAAATAACATTTCAAAGAAATACCTGACAATTACTAAAGCTTGGAAGGGCAAGGTAAAAGAGAGGAAGGAGTAAAAAAATCATGAGTTTTCACATCAGAAGTCAGTAGACTGAGCTGCTCTAGGAGGGTATAAAATATTACTAACAAGTTTGGTTGAGTTTAAGGTATCTGACAGGCACCTGGAAATGCAATCCTTGGAGCTCAAACAGATGTCAGTTTGAAGGAGATACATTTGGGAATCATCCACAGAGTTGAAATTATGGGAGTGAGGGAGAGCATTATGACAGTGAGTGTTAAAAGCAAGCAAGACAGGACAGAATCTTCTAAGAAACACACACCTACAAAGCCCGAGGAGCAGAATTAGAACAGACATAAATGTGGAACTACAAAAAATAAAGAAAGTCTACAATGCCTTCATGAGACATACATTTTGTTTTCTGTATTTTTAAGTTTCATTTCCCTTTTAATTGTGATAAATGATGGTATTTCAATGTTTTTTAATGGCTGAGTAGTATTCCATTGTATATATATAGCACATTCCGTTTATACATTCATCTGTTGATAGACACTTAGACTGATTGCATTGTGAATAGTGTTGCTGTAAACATAGGAAATCAGATATCTGTTTAACATAATGATTTCCTCTGGTTATCTACCCAGTAGTGGAATTGTTAGATCATACTATGTTAAAACATAGTACTGTTTTTACTTTTTTAGGAACCTCCATAATTTTTTTCATAATGGCTATATTGATTTATATTCCCACCCATACTATGTAAGGAATCCCTTTTCCACATCCTTTACATCGCTTGTTATCTTTTGTCTTTTTAATAAAAGTCCTTCTAGCTGGAGATGATAGCTCATTGTGGTTTTGATTTGCATTCTCTGAAGATTACTTGATCTTAGCCAAAAGGCCAAGAAGTGAACTCTCTGATGATTAGTGATGTTGAGCATCATATCAACATCAGTGATGTTGGCCCTTCATATATCTTCTTTTGCAAAATGTCTATCAGATCATTTGCCAATTTTAAAAATCAGGTTATCTGTTTTTGCTATTGAGTTGCTTCAGTGCCTTATGTATTTTGGACATTAATCTCTTATGAAATGTATAGTTTGGCTGGGCACAGTGGTTCATGCATGTAATCCTAGCACTTGGAGAGGCCGAGGCAAGGGGATCACGTGAAGTCAAGAGTTCGAGACCAGTTTGGCCAACATGGTGAAACCCTGTCTCTACTAAAAATCCAAAAATTAGCTGGATGTGGTGGCATGCACCTGTAATCCCAGCTACTGGAGAGGCTGAGGTAGAAGAATCACTTGAACCAGGGAGGTGGACGTTGCAGCGAGCTGAGATCAAGCCACTCCACTCCAGCCTGGGGGCAAGAATAAAACTCCATCTCAAAAAAAAAACCTGAAATATATAGTTTGCAAATATGTACTCCTGTGAGCTGTCTCTTAACTCCATTGTTTCCTTTGCTGTGCAAAAGCTCTTAAGTTTGATGTAATCCTGTTTGTCCAGTTTTTGTTTTTGTTGTCTGTGCTTTTGTGGAAAATTATTGCCCAGATCAATGTCACAGAGCTTTCACCCTGTGTTTTCTTCTAACGATGTCATAGTTTTGGGGGCTTACATTTAATCTATCCAGTGGCTATCCAGTTTTCCCAATACTGTTTATTAAAAAGACTGTCTTTTCCCCATTGTGTGTTGTTGGCATCTTTATCAAAAATCAGTTTACTGGCTGGGCATGGTGGTGCATGCCTATAATCTCAGCAGTTTGGGAGGCTAAGGCATGCAGATCACTTGAGCTCAGGAGTTCGAGATCAGGCTGGCCAACATTGTGAAACCTTGCCTCTACTAAAAATACAAAAATTATCTGGGTGTGGTGGTGCACACCTGCAATCCCAGCAACTCAAGAAACACGAGAATCACCTAAACCTGGAAGGCAGAGGCTTGGGTGACAGAGTGAGACTTTGTCCCCTCCCCTGCCAAAAAAAAAGACATTAATCCTAATCCATGAACTTGGAATGCTTTTCCATTTGTTTGTGGCACCTATGATTTATTTCAGTTGTGTTTTATAGTTCTCCTTCTAGAGAACTTCCACTTCCCTGGTTCGATGTATTCCTAGGCAAATTTTTTGTAGCTGTGGTAAATGGAGGCCAGGTGTGGTGGCTCATACCTATAAGCCCTGCACTTTGGGAGGCCAAGGCAGGTGGATCACCCGAGGTCAGGAGTTTGAGACCAGCTTGGCCAAAACGATGAAACCCCATCTCTAATAAAAATACAAAAAGTTAGCTGGGCATGGTGGTGGGTGCCTGTAATCCCAGCTATTCAGGAGGCCAAGTCAGGAGAATCACTGGGACCCAGGAGGGGGAGGTTGCAGTGAGCTGAGATCGTGCCACTGCATTCCAACCTGGGCAACAAGAGCAAAACTCCAAAAAAAAAAAAAATAAATAAAATAAAATAAATTTATAAGAAAACAGAAGAGTATAGGAGAATGATGTAAGAGTTTGAAAATGAAGAGAAGGGGATGAAGAAGCAAGTAGAAGGAAAAGGAAAAAGAAAGACAAAAAGAGATACAGAGAAAAAATTAAAAGGCAGAGATGGAGAATTTTACATGGGGCTTAGTTGACATTTCCTGGGTGCTATCCCCCTGGCTCACATTCCTGTCTTCACCCTATGCCCCATGCCAAGCCTGCCCTCCTTTATTGCAGCATTAGCCCTCTTCCTATATCTGTGCCTCTCAAGACCAAGCATCCATAGCACCTTCCTGTGAGTGGTAGAGGAGAGGGAGGAAGTCTTCCTGGGATGGAGACAAGAAGGCCTGGCCAAGGACTGCTCAGATTTTAAAGAGATGAAAGTTTTCAACACAGTCATCAAAAACTCAGTTATTTAATGCAATGCATACTTCTGAACCAGATTTTTTTTGCTATGAGACATTATATGGGAGAGCTGAAGAAATTTGAATTTGGATGATATCAATGTTTCAGCATCAATTTCCCAATTTTAGTGGTTGTAACCTCATGATGTAAGAGAATGCCCCTTTTTGCAGAAAATATTAACGTATTTGGAGTGATGGAGAATCATGTGGACAATTTCATCTCAAGTGGTCCAGGGGGTAAATGTTCTTTGTACTATACTTGCAACTTTTATATAAATTTAAAATTGTTTCAAAAATTTTTAGAAGCTGTATATTAATGGGTAGGGTGGTTTCATATTTTGTTTTTGGTTTATGGGTTGTTAGGATCAAACAGAACAAAATGGGAAACAGAGGGAGGTATCATGTGTTTTCTAGCCCTGATTCTGGTAGAAATCCAGGTTACATAAGACTGCAAGTCACCCTGTTTGCCTTGTGAAATGTAAACAAAATCATTATACTTACACACTGTAATAATGCACTTCCCTCATCCTAGCTAACAGCAGGACTCCAGTCATCAGACCAAATAAGCCCAGTCAATGGCACTGGGAAAGTTTGCTCCTACAAAGAAAAGGCAATTTAAGTAATTAGCCAGTCTTTATGGCCCTGATCATCTTCCAGGCTCAGCAGGGTGGAAGGGAGCACATGGCTGTAGTGCAATAAAAGCAATTCCTCATTTTTACACTCTCTTCTCCTAACTCAAACTTTCAAAACATGCCCAGAGAGGACACTTTTCCTCAGTGTCTCTTGGTGTTCCAGATGGGACAAGGCTGATAGCTTAGCCAAACCAGCACACGCTGAGAAGGTTTTGTTTCATTTTGAGTTTTGATTATTTGTTTCAAAATAAAACCAGCTTTATTGTTTTTCCAGACTGTAAAAGTAATCCATGCTTGTTATTAAAACAAATGAAGACAAAAACAAATAAGGGTAGCTAGAAAGTAGAAAGTTAAAACTATTCAGGATCTTCCCAGCCAGAGAGAGTTATGGATCATATTTTGGTGTATTATCCCTCAAGTTTATATAATTATAAATAAAAATATGTAAGATTTGAATGTGTCCCCCAAATTTCATGTATTGGAAACTTAATTCCCAAATGTATATGTTGATTGGAGGTGGGGCCCTTGGGAGGTAATTAGAATTAGTTAAGGTTATCAGGCGGGGCCCCCATGATGGGACTGGTGGCTTTATTAGAAGAGAGACTTGAGCTGATATGCACATTTTTTTCACATCATTTGATGCCCTCTGCCACGTTATGACACAGCAAGGAGGCCTCACCACATGCCAACATCATGCTCTTAGATTTCCCAGCCTCCAGAACCATGAGATGAAAAACTTACTTTTCTTTATAAGTTACCCAGTCTGAGGTATTTTGTTACAGCAATAGAAAATGGACTAAGACAATATGATTATATTAAGCAAGCTATGTTATAACCATTACAATACTTACTTTCTATTCCTGTATCATGAGCATCTTCACATGTTAATAAATCAATGACATCATATCACAAAAAAGCCTTTGCTCAGCTCAGACAGCCCAACAGAAAAATGGACAAAAGACTTAAGCAGGCCAGGTCTACTGGCCCATTCCTGTAATCTCAGCATTTGGGAAAGCTGAGCTGGGTGGGTCGCTTGAGCCCAGGAGTTCAAGACCAGTCTGGGTAACATGGAAAAACCCTGTGTCTACAAAAAATACAAAAATTAGCCAGGTGTGGTGGTGCACGCCTGTAGTCCCAGCTACCCAGGAGGCTGAGGTGGGAGGATCATATGGAGCCCAGGAGGTTGAAGATGCAGTGAGCCATGATTGCACCACTGCACTCCAGCCTGGGCAACAGGGCTAGACCCTGCCTCAAAAAAAAAAAAAAAAAAAAAAAAAGAGTTAAACTGTCTTTTGGAGGAAATGTTCAATACACATTAAAAGAAAGTTCAGCTTCATTAGCCATGAGAGAAATTCAAATTAAAACCACAACGTAATACTACTAAATAGCTGAAATGAAAGAGACTGATGAAAGCAGACGTTTGCAAGGCTGTGAAGCAACTGGAACTCTCACACTCTTCTGGTGGGCAGGTAAACTGGTACCACCACTTTGGAAAGCTGTTTGACAGTATCTACTAAAGCTAAACATATGTGCAGACGATCCTTGACTTATGATGATTCAACTTATGATTTTTAAACTTTACGATAGTGCAAAAGTTATACACATACAGTAGAAGGCATATTTTGTTTTATTTAAGTTGGAGTCTTGCTCTGTCACCCAGGCTGGAGTGCAATGGCATGATCTCAGCTCACTGCAACCTCCGTCTACTGGGTTCAAGTGATCCTCCTGCCTCAGCCTCCCAAGTAGCTGGGATTACAGGCACCTGCCACCATGCCAGGCTAATTTTCAGAGTTTTAGTAGAGATGGGGTTTCTCCAGGTTGGCCAGGCTGTTCTTGAACTTCTGACCTCAGGTGATCTGCCCACCTGGGCCTCCAAAACTGCTGGGATTATAGGTATGATCTGCACCCAGCCGGGGTCATACTTTGAATTTTGATATTTTCCTGGGCTAGCAATATACATGACAGTGCTCTCTCATGATGCTGGGCAGTGCAGTGAGCAACAGCTCCCAGTCAGTCACACAATCTTGAGGATAACCGACTGATACTATGTGGCAAAGTGCACTGCCAATGATTTTGCCATGCTGCAGGCTGATGTAAGGCTTTCTGAACACATTTAAGATAGGCTAGGCTAGGCTTTGGTGTTCTGTAGGTTAGGTATATTAAATGCATTTTCAATTTAATAATGTTTTCAACTTACGATGGGTTTATTGGGACATAATTCCATTGTAAGTCAAGGAACATTTCTATGTGTACAGTTCAACAATTCTATTCCTAGATATATAACCAACAGAAGTGCATATACATATTCACTAAATGACAGGTACAAGAATGTCCATAGTCTCATTAATCATAATATCCCCAAACTTGAAACAACCAAATGTCCATCTGTAGTAGAATAAATACACTGTGGAGGATGAATGGATTACGACTGTGCATAACAACATGAATGACTCACATTCATAATGTTGGCACAAGTTTGGGAAAGTTACACACTGTATAATTTCATTCACATGAACATCAAGAGCGAGCAAACTAACCTACGGTGAAGGAAGTCAAGAGAGATGCTACTCTTCACTGTCCTTAGGGAACCTACAAGTGAGTACATGAACACTTCTTGGATAAGGTGTTCAGATGACACTGCTCATTCTTGATCTGCAGGCTGGATACATGGATTTATTTACCAGGTGAAAATTTATCAAGCTGTACACTTAGGATCTGTGTAGTTTTTCTGTGTATAATATGCTGTTAAATATATCACATGTATGAATACTATTAAAACCTGGAATCTAGAGGGTTACATTTAAATATTTTTCTCAAAATCAAATTGCAGAAATTTCCTAAATGTAGGGCAAAAAAAAATATATATATATATATATATATATCGAAACTGCATACAATATTCATGGCATTTTAATTTTTAACCCTCTTCAACTATTTTGACCTATCTATACCTGACTCCTCTCAATATGCTGTCCTATATTAGATAGTAAAGAACATCCACAAACATCTATGGGTCCATAGAGTCACCCGAAGGGCTAGAACAGTGGTTCTTACCAGGAGGGACGAAAGAATCACCTGAAGTTCTTGTACATCCAGATAAGCACAAGCTGGGTTGTTCTTAACTGTATGTTGTTCATGTTAAGGATTGCCACCCAGGCTCCACCTCAAAGCTGAGACATTCATCTTTATCTTCCCAGCTGCTGGGTGTATTGCTTGCTGAGAACTTACAGCTAGTTCCTTCCCAGAAATTGTTCTCTGCAAAAGAAAGCTTCTGGCTCAAGATTTTGCTTCTCACACAAGGCAGCCCACATCCAGTGATGGGTCCATACAGCAATAGAAGGTCTGGCCTCCCCACCTAAATAGGCAATCCCAGCTCCGGGTGCTCCATGACTTTGCTGAAGCTTCTGTTGCAACAACATCACAATTCAAATTTACCCTGTATCCAATCCTTCTTCCTTTACTTCCTCTCAGGTTTGCTTTTGAGACTACTCCCCATAACCATCCTGCATGCAAATCTCTATTTCATAGTTTGTTTCCTGAGGAAGCTGACCTAAGACATTCACTTATGAGACACATTCAAGATACATGTCATATAATTGAGGTTAATGTTGTTCAGGATAGGCTTTATGAAAAAGGTGATATTTAAGCTTACCAAAAAATTATGATTTTGGAGAAAGCAACATAAAGCTTGCCATATGAGGAACCCCAGGATGCATATGGTGAGAAACTGAGATGAGCAAAGTAAATGGAGGTACCACTGTGAAGGTTGCCTAATCAGAGGAGGAGATGGCTTTATTGAGAAATAGAGACCCAGGTTATAAACCAATCAAAGAGCCGTTGGAGCGGAAAAAAAAAAGTCTTAGCAGGAAATGTGTTTTTCTATAACAGGAACACTTTGTTGATTTTTCAACAAATGATTGGCAAAGGTAAAGCTGTTTTTCAGTAAATCTAGCATCAATATGCAAGCCTGATTGCAGGGGACACTGGTGGTCTGAAGATCCAAATCGCACATGGGGCCACAATCCTGGGGAAAGGTGTGATTCAGCTTGGAAATATCTCACAGGACAGACAGTATAACTAACCCCCCATATTTGAAGGGCCTTCACAAGAAAGAGTCAGCCTTGCTCAGTGGGGCAACAACAAGCTCTTAGGAAAGCAAAATAGTGAAACACAGGGAAATGTGTTAAACCAGAAAGCTATCCACCTACGGGACTTCTCTTTGGCGGAGGTGAGTTCACATCCCTGGAGATTTTAATCAAAAGGTGATGTAGTTTCTTGTCAAAGATAAGAGGACCCTAGCAATGAATGGAAGGTAGAAGTAAATTTCCTTTCATCTCTCTTTGAAGACTTCTGCAAAAATAAAAGAAAAAAACTTAACTCTACCAAGAAAGATGTAGCTATATTTTGGTGACTTCTGGAGACGTGGAATGAAGAAATGTGGTCAAATTGCCTCCAAGTTTTCAAACCCAAAGGATGAAATACAGTTGGTAAAACTGATCCAATAGAAAAGTTTAACAACTGGGCATTTTTCAAACAATAAAGCAAACAATCTGAATTTAGTTGAAGTGGAAATGATGCATGTGGTGCCTCACGCCAACCACAAGACAGGAGCCACAGAGTAGGGTTGTATGCCTCACTTTCCTCCAAAGCTCATTCCCATTTTTGCAGCAGCAAACCAAGGCTTCAAAGTTTCCAATTTGCCCTCACTGCTGCATGCCACAAAAAGAACACGCTATAGACGACTTTCCTTTCACTTCTAGTTACAGTTGGACTCACTCATTCTTTGTCTTCTAGAAAAGCCATTCATTTGTTGATAACTTTTCTGGTGTTTGGTTCTGGAATTTGTCTTTTAGATGACAATTTTTTTTTCTCCATAGTTAGACAAAGACTCCGTGACATTTTATTATATTTATAGTGTATTTTTATTATAGTTATAAAATCGGGTTTTTTTCTTTTTATTGGAGTTCTTTTTCAAGTTTTTCTTTTTTCTTTTTTTGTTTTGTTTTTTGAGACAGGGTCTCACTCTGTCACCTAGGCTGGAGTGCAGTGATAAATCTTAGCTCACTACAACCTCTGCCTCCTCGGTTCAAGCCATTCTCCCACCTTAGCCTCCGTAGTAGCTGCGACTAAAGGTAGGCGCCACCACACCTGGCTGATTTTTGTATTTTTTTGTAGAGACAGGCTTTCACCATGTTGGCCAGGCTGGTCTCAAACTCCTGACCTCAAGTGATTCACCCAGCTTGGCCTCCCAAGGCCAAAATGCTGGGATTACAGGTGTGAGCTACCATGCCTGGCCTCAAATTTGATTTTATTATACCAATATTATCTTCTCCCCCTCCCACAGCTGCCCAACCACTTCTCTAAGGACTCTGATCCATCACAGTTTCCCACTTGTGGAGTAGATATTTAGGGTTCATACTGGAAGGAGGATAAAAACAGAAGGAATTTGGCCTACTTCCTTCACACGACGCTCCTCCATCTTCCACGTGTGGCATTTGCTCTGAGAATGTCAACTCTCTCACAGCCTGTGTCAGAATGGCGTGCCAGCACGGATCTTCTGGTCTAGCACACACAGAAAGAGTGAAAAGTACACATGGTGGCCACTGTGGGTTTGCAGATTTCCTGTCTCAGACTCACAGGTCTGGGACCAGTTTTGCTAGTGTTGCACTGCTAACCACAGAAGCCAGAAAGAAAAAATACATTTTCAATAGACAATTTCTATTAATAAAGAGAGTATTGTTTCAGCAAAAACAGGCTTTAGCCACAACTGTTTTTATAAGCATTTGACGGGAGGGGAATGTCTAGAAACAACTTCAGGACTTCATAAAGATAAGAGCAACCTCTCCAGAACAGCCAGGGGTGTGGGTTTCTGTCCAATCTCTCCAGGCTCAAGGACAGTTGTGAATTTCCTGTCAAGGGATATTCTTCTCAAGGACACTTACCTTCTGTTGCCTAGGGACAGGTAAGTAAGTTATCTGGTGTCAAGACCCTTATTGGTAAAACAATAAAACCATGTATTCATTTGGACTTGTATTCTTTATTTAAGTGAGAGGAGTTCTAGAACAGTCTTCCTGTCTGGAATCCTTGATGGTAAACCTTCCCATGTGAGGTCTGCTGTTTACTGTGTGGACTAGGCCAGGGCTGTTATTTGGCATCCTGGGACCAGCTTGCTGCTCTGCTCCAGGGCCACAGCCCACAGTCTAGCCTCAGCCATTTCTGGTGTGATTGTACTTAGTACATCAGTAGTCAAGAGAAAACCGATTAAGAAAACATGGAGCTTCAACAGAAACAAAATATTATACGTGCAACACCCATAACATTGTGGCTGTCTTATCCTGATTGCTCCTTTCTTTTCCACAGAAGGTTCTTTTTAAATTTTAACATATATTTGTCCAATTGTTTGGTAATGCATTTCCATGTTTTTGGAAACAGTGAATCGAGTGTGGACCGGAACAACGCTATTTCACTTACCTCCTGCACCCAGCACCTGCCTCAATGTGGGAATGCCCCATCCTTGGTGTCTTACAAATCCTTGCACAGCTTCTTTACTTGTACATCAGACATGTGCATATACAGTGAGGCAGATTCTGCATGACCTCACTTACATGTGGAATCTAAAACGGTCAAGCTCACAGAAGTAGAGAGTAGAATGATGGTGACCAGAAGCTGGAGGGGGGGTCGGGCAGGGAAAGGGGAGAGGTTGGTCAATGGGTACAAAGTTATCATCAGATAGAAGGATTAAGTTCTGGTGTTCTATTGCACTGCATGGTGACTATAGTTAATACTAATGGATTGTGTATTTCAAAAGACCTGAAGGAGAGAATTTTAAATGTTCTCACCACAAAGAAATGGTAATTATTTGAGGTGATGGATATGCTAATTAGCCTGGTTGTATCATTCCCCAGCGTATATGTGTATCAAAACATCATGTTGTATACCATAAATACATGCAATTATTTTTTAATTAATTTTTCTTTTTAAACTTAGGCCAGGTGTGGTGGCTCATGCCTATAATCACAGCACTTTGGGAGGCTGAGCTGGGAAGATCATTTGAGGTCAGGAGTTCAAGACCAGCCTGACCAACATAGTGAAACCTCGTCTCTTCTAAAAATACAAAAATTAGCTGGATGTGGTGGCGTGCTCCTGTAATCCCAGCTACTCAGGAGGCTGAGGCCAGAGAATCACTTGAACCCGGGAGGCAGAGGTGCAGCGAGCCGAGATCGTACCACTGCACTCTAGCTTGGGCAACAGAGCAAAGACTCTGTCTCAAAAAAAAAAAAAAATTTAAAACTTCAAAAATAAGTGTGCATATAGATTTTTATTGTCCCAAATGTTTCACACACACACGCACACAAAATCTGATCTAAACTTTTTCTTTTCATTGAACAATATTTTCTGGAGAGCTTTCCAAAGCAGCACATATAGAAATTCATTTTCTTTGTAGCCCTATAGAATTTTATCTGTTGCACAATTTATTTCGAAGCCTCTGTTGAGGGACATGTAGACTGTTTACAATGCTTTACTATTATTAAAAAAAAAAAAAAAAAAAAAGAACGTTGCAGTGAATTACCTTATACATATATCTTTTGCCTGTGTCTACAGAATACATTCCTAGAAATAGAATTGGGAGGGATATACATTTGTAATAAATATCACCAAGTTGTCTTTTGTAGTCTTTGACTTATCAGTTTATAACATAAAAAAAAATTAAAGATATATCCTTACCTCATACTATATAAAAAATTAACTCAAAATGAAGCAAAGACCTAAATGTAAGAGCCAAATTATAAAACTCTCAGGAGAATACATAGGGATAAATTCTTATGATCTTAGACTTGGCAATGGATTCCTTGTTCTGAGAATGCCGACTCCCTCACAGTGTGTCAGAAGCCCAAGCAACAAGAGAAAAACATAGATGAAATAAATTTCATCAAAATTTAAAACTTTTAAACATTGAAAAACTCTATCAAAAAAGTGAAATGATAACCCACAGAATGGGAGAATATGTTTGCCAACTATATATATCTATTCAGGGCCTGTCTAATATTGTCCTGTGGTTTCTTAGAATTTTTTTTTTTTGGATGGAATCTCATTCTGTTACCCAGGCTGGAGTGCAGTGGCATGATCTTGGCTCACCACAACCTCTGCCTCCCAGGTTCAAGTGATTCTCCTGCTTCAGCCTCCCAAGTAGCTGGGATTACAGGTGCACACAACCACGCCCAGCTAGTGTCTGTATTTTTAGTAGAGACAGGGTTTCTCCATTTTGGCCAGACTGGTCTCAAACTCCTGACCTCAAGTGATTCACATGCCTTGGCCTCCCAAAGTGCTGGGATTACAGGTGTGAGCCACCATGCCTGGCCTTAGATTCTTTATGTCTATTTGGCATCTAGTAACCTCTCCTTCAAGGAGGGGCATTCCCCCACAAGGATGGTGCCTTCCCACAACGAGGCAGGCCTGGGTGCAGGAGGCAAGTGAGGGAGAGTTGTTCCCGTCCACATGTGATTCACTGTTTCTAAAAGCTTGGAAATGTATTACCAAACAACTGGACAAATATATACATAATTGGAATTCAACTTGCCTGGAATTCTCCTTTCATGCACAGACAGGCTGATTCAAGTCTGTGCCTCTACCTGCCTTCTATATATCTCTCTCGCAAACAAAACTAATATTTTCCTTATCCTAAATCATCCCAAGGCCAGGTTCCAGGCAACTAGAGACCACCCCTATAGCCCAAGCTCACCAATGTTATTCAGAGTAGCCAGTCCTAAACTGATAGCCCTGTCCTGCCTTGCCTTTCCTGCAGAAACCCCAATAAGGGCTCTGGCCCTTGCCTTCTCACTCATCTTTTACCTCTTGACCATCCTGGTGCTTCCACTGTGACCCTGTGTGTTGTGGCATGTCCCCTCCTCTCAGGAAATGTAAGTAAGAAACCTCTTCTTTCACTAGTGTTGACCTCTCTGCGTCATCATTCAGTCACCTCCATAAACTAAAATCCTGCAGTTACAAATGAGGCAAGTATCTAGAATATATAAAGAATAGTTACAACTCAACAATAAGAACACAACCCAAATCAAACATGAGCAAAGATCTCAAACAGACATTTCTCCAAGGAAGATATACAAATGGCCAGCAAGCCCAAGAAAAAGATGCCCAACATAATTAATCCTCAGGGAAATGCAAACCAAAACCACCATGATGTAAACAATGTGAATGTAATGAAGGCCACTGACCTGTACAATTACAAATGCTTAAAACAGGCCAGATGCAGTGGCTGATACCTGTAATTCTAGCCCTTTTGGAGGCCAAAATGAAAGGATCCCTTGAGCCCAGGAGTTCAAGACCAGCCTGGGCAACATAGCGAGAACCTAGCTCTACAAAAAATAAAAAATTAGCTGGGTGTAATGGTACGTGCCAGTAGTCCCAGCTACTTGGAAGGCTGAGGTGGCAGGATCACTTGAGCCTGGGAAGTTGAGGCTGCAGTGAGCTGTGACTGCACCACTGACCTCCAGCCTGGGCAAGAGTGTTGTCTCACAACAGCAACAACAAAAGGCTAAAATTATAACTTTTATGTGCTGTATATTTTACCACAGTAAATAAATAAAATAAAGCATTGGATTAGTCAGGGTTCTCCAGCAGAACAGAACCAGTAGGATTTGTTTGTTTACTTGTTTATTTATAAGATAACCATTGGCTCATCTAGAACCAGAAATACCATCTGACCCAGAAATTCCATTACTGTGTATATACCCAAAGGAATATAAATTATTCTACTGTAAAGACATATGGACAAGTATGTTTACTGCAGCACTATTTATAATAGCAAAGACTTGGAACCAATCCAAATGCCCATCAATGATAGACTGGATAAAGAAAATGTGGCACATATACACCATTGAATACTATATAGCCATAAAAAAAGAATTAGTTCATGCCCTTTGCAGAGACATGGATGAAGCTAGAAGCCATCATTCTCAGCAAACTAACACAGGAACAGAAAACCAAACATCAATGTTCTCGCTCATGAGTGGGGTTGAACAGTGAGAACACATGGACACAGGGAAGGGAACATCACACACTGGGATCTGTCAAGGGGTGGGGACAAAGGGAGAGAGAGCATTAGGGCAAATACCTAATGCATGTGGGGCTTAAAACCTAGATGACAGGTTGATAGGTGCAGCAAACCACCATGGCACATGTATACCTAGGTAGCAAACCTGCATGTTCTGCATATGTATCCCAGAACTTAAAATAAAATTAAAAAGATATTGATTGGCTCACATGATTATGGAAGCTAAGTCCTGATGTGAACCACCTGTGAACTGGAAACCTAGGAAAGCCCGTGGCGTAGTCTGAAAGTCTGAGGGGTGGAGAATCAATGGTGTAGATTCCAGTCCAGGTCTTAAGGCCTGAGAACCAGGAGTGGTGAGGGCTGAAGAAGATTGCTGCCCCACCTCAGTAGTCAAGCAGTTAATTCAACCTTCCTCTGCTTTCTTGTTTTATTCAGGCCCTTGGTAGATCTGATAATGCCCACCCACATTGGCCATCTTCTTTACTCAGTCTAACCATTCAAATGTTAATCTTATCTAGGAATACTCTCACAAGCGTACCCAGAAATAAGGTTTAACCAACCAGCTGAGTATCCCATCACCCAGTCAAGTTGACACACAAAAGTAACCATCTCAAGCATCGACCATAAAAACAAAACAAAAAAAAAACCACAGGGATATACCACTTCCACTTATTAGTATGGCCGTATGAAAACAAGAAAGCCCCTAAAAAACAGAACATAACAAATGTGGGTGAGGATGTGGAGAAACTGAAACACTTATACATTGCTGGTGGAAAGGAAAAATGGCACAGCCACTGCAGAAAACAGTTGGGCAGTTCCTCAAAACATTAAATACTGAGTTACCATTCGACCCAGCAATTCTACTCCCAGGTATATATCCAAGAAAAATAAAAACACAAAAACTTGAACACAAACATTCACAGCAGTACTATTCATAATAGCCAAAATGTAGAAACAGCCCAAACACCCAAAAACTAGTGAAGAGATTTTTAAAATGTCGTTTGTCCATGCAATGGAATATTATCTGGTCATAAAAATTGACTGGGCCAGTGGCTCATGCTTGTAATTCCAGCACTTTGGGAGGTCGAGGCCAGCGGATCATTTGAAGTCGGGAGTTTGAGGCCAGCCTGGCCAACACGGTGAAACCCCATCTCTACTAAAAAACACAAAAATTAGCACGGTATGGTGATACCATGCTACCTCCTGAGTACTGGCCTGTAATCCCTGCTACTCAGGAGGCTGAGGCAGAAGAATTGCTTGAACCCAAGAGGCAGAGGTTGCAGTGAGCTAAGATCGCACTACTGCACTCCAGCCTGGGTGACAGAGTGAGACTCTGCCTTAAAAAAAAAAAAAAAAAAAGTAAGATTCCAACCCCTGGGGCTCAGCAATTACACTCCCAGAAGTCATGCTACAAATGCACTGTTCTCTCTTCTGGGTCTTTTCTCCTCTCTGTCCTAATCTCCACTCCATGCCTCAAGTGAAGTCAATAAATGGGTAATAATTCCCTTAAACTCCGTGGAATTAATTTCTTTTTGACTGTAGGAATTGGCAGTTCAAAAAACCGCCCTAGATTCCTTAATAATTAAATAGAAACCTGAAAAGTTCCTTCTAAAAATGTTCATGGCTATAAAAGTAATAAATGAAGCGCCCAAAATTCTGCACTGCAGGTCGGGTTAATAATCCTATTGGACAGGAGCAGCCATTACTCAGTTTGGGCGGCCGAGCCCAGACATCAGCATATGTGTTACTGTAGCGCCCTCTGCTGGCCCAATGCAAAATCAAATTTATGTGGTCGCTTTTAGTCAACACTGTTTTCAGTAGCTGCTTACAAGCATTGAGTTTCCTGCGACTTCCTGTTTATTGCCTCTGCTCTCCTCAAGTTCTCAGCTTTTTCTGATATCAGCTAGGCTTACCTCCTCCTTCTCAGGGAAGATCAAGATTCCCCTCATATTCCTAATCTCAGCTCCTAAGATTTGCCCCTTCCACTATCCTGTTTCCCCACTGTTTGCACCATAGCCTCCCTCCTTCAGTAATTCTAGTTCTGTCTGTTCTCTCTGCATCTGTCTGCCTCCATACTGGCCATTTACCATGTGACCACATTGCACCTGGGCTTCTGCACTCACGACCTACCTGCCATTTCCTCACTACTGCCCAGTCTCACCTGCACTTGCCTGAGCGCTCTCCATTCATTCCTTGTTCCAGGGGTTTTTCAAATGAGGTCTGTGGACAATTTACATGCGCTCCACTTGGCTGCTTGCTACGGTGCAGATTCCTGGGCTCCCTGAATCAGACCTTCTGGAACCCTGGAACCTGCCTTTATAACAAATACCCTAAAGAATTCTTATGTACATGCATACACATACACACAAACACACACACAATATAAAAACAACCCTGACGTTTTTGTTTGCTTTACTAAACCATATGATCTTGTCCAGAAACTTGCCATGGCTCCAGATCATCTAAAGATTTAAATGCAAAAGTCTCACACTGGCTTTCAAGGTTTTTGGTAAATTGTTTTACCTATTTGTTGTCCTTTCCTGTAAGAGGAGTATATTTCCCCTTTCCCAGGGATGGCAGGCATGGTCAAGTGACTTGCTTGGCCAACGAAATGTGAGCAGCAGTAATACATGCCACACTATGAGAGCCATTGAGCAGTTCTGCCATATTTTCTTTCCCTTGGCCAGAACTAGTGATAACCCAGATCAAAGCTGCCTCTTCAGCCTGAGCCCAGAGCAAAACAGCCATGAAACAGAGCTACACATACCCACAAGGGAAATGTAATGTAAGGGAGAAATAACGCTTGTAGTATTGCTGTGATTTGGAGTCCTTTGTTACTGCAGTTTAACTGCCTAAACTGACTGATGCACAGTATTTCACAACTTGCTTTTCTAACTCTGTTTCCCATTATTCCCTAACACTTATTCAACTCCTGCCAAACTGAACTACTTGCTTTTCCCCAAACACCAACAAGTTTCTCCAACTCTATGCGGTTATTTGCTTCCTATCTCTTGCCTGTCAACAACACCTCTCAAAGTTTAATTTCAACCTTCAAGTCCATCTCAAGTGCTACTTTCTCTCTGCAGGGGTGTTTGATCTTTCGGCTTCCCTGGGCCACACTAGAAGAAGACCTGTCTTGGGTCACACATAAGATACACTAATGATAGTTGGTGAGCAAAACCACCACCACCAAAAAAAAAAAAAAAAAAAAAAAAAAAAAACCATAAAAAAAATTCTCATAATGTTTTTACGAGAGTTTGTGTTGGGCCACATGCAGCCCATGGTCCACAGGCTAGAAAAGCTTGGTAAAAAGCCTTTGATGGCCTAGGAACACCCCTGACCCACACTCTATAATGGCAACTGTTTAACCTATGTTTATTGTTTTTACATATTTTCTTATCACCTCCCTGAGGAAAAAAATCATAAACTCCTTGAGATTAAACACTATTTTATTGGCCAGGCACAGTGGTTCACGCCTGTAGTACCTGCATGTTGGGAGGCCGAGACAGGTGGGTCACTTGAGCTCAGGAGTTCGAGACCAGACTGGCCAACATGATGAAACCTTGTCTCTACTAAAAATACAAAAATTATCCAGGCGTGGTAATATGCTTCAATCTAAGTTACTTGGAATGCTGAGGCAGGAGAATCACTTGAAACCCAGGAGGCCCAGGTTGCAGTGAGATAAGATCACACCGCTGTCCTGGAAGACGGAGCAAGACTCTGCCTCAAACAAACAAAAAGACTATCTTACTCATCAATGTATTCCCTGAAGCTTTGCAAATAGTAGTGCAAATAGCACTCAAATATTTGTCAAATTAGCACATTCAATTAGAGCATTGCTGTTTAATATATTTATATTTTTTAAAGGAAGGTTTTAAAGAACATTTAACATACTCATTGAGGAAGCAAAATTAAGATGCAAGAAGAATTAAAAATAATAGCAAATAGCAAAGATTCCTACTGAATAAAATATAGGCCAGGCACAGTGGCTCACACCTGTAATCCTAGTGCTTTGGGAAGCCAAGGCAGGCAGATTGCTTGAGGCCAGGAGTTCGAGACCAGCTTGGGCAACATAGCGAGATCTCCTCTCTACTAAAAATTAAAGAAATTAGCCAGGTGCGGTGGTGTGCATGTGTAGTCCCAGCAACTTGGAAGGCTGAGGTGGGAGAATCGCTTGAGCCCTGGTGGTGGAGGTTGCAGTGAGCCAACATCGTGCCACTGCACTCCAACCTGGGTGACAGAGCAAGAACCTATCTAAAAAAATAAATAAATAAAAATAAAGTATAACTCAAAGCTTAATGAATCTCTTTGCCTCTCTCTCTCTCATCTGTAAAAATAAGCGTGTCTTGACCTTCATCTCTTTCTCTCCCCAGATATGCCCAACAGATCTTAAAGTAAAACTTCACCAGAGGGAAACAATGTGTCATACGACTCATGAGTTATGATTCCTATTGTTACAGTCCATATGCTAAACGCAATGATTTTTCTAATTATGGACCAAATTAGCTTATGTATATTCTTAGGTGTAGGAAAAATGGATTTCCCTATTTATGGTTAAAAGCCAGTAAAATATAATTCCAATTTTAAAACAAATCCCCTTACCAAGCCCCAACAACAAAGTGCTGCCCCTACAAACCTCATAGCAAATGGAGTGCTTCTCAGTGTCTAGCAGCTGCCTCTTTTTCCAGTCCTCTCCAGCTTTGATTAACCTAATGCCCTCTGAGACATTTTGGCAGTAATTGCAAAGCTTCTTCCGGTTTGGGAATCTAATTTAAAAGGACAGAAGACATTATTTTTGAACTGCTTATCAATCTTCTGCTGAGTAATGTTTTACTACAGGCTGAAGGTAAAAGTACTATGTACATATTAGAGACACAAAGTTGCTTGCCAGAGCACTTCAAATCTGCTATCTGTGCCTAGGAAAACATATTATCTATTCGGCCTCTTCATTATCTAAGGAAGGAAAACACTTCTTTTACCGAAAACTCAAAATGACACAGAAACACATAAAGATTCCCAACCTTTTGTGAGTCCTTTTGGCCAGCATTTTCTGTATTAAACTGTATTCTATGGAATGGAAGTGTCTCTGCATATAAGAATAGATGGTTAGCAAAAAAGCCAGGACTTAATGTGGTGGGGGAGTGCGAGGAATCAGTGATCAAACGAGCATGAAGAAACCTGAAAATTAGGCCACATCCTCTCTTAAACCCTCTCATCCTCTTTAAAATCCCCTTTATTTATATATATATATATTGCATGCTTCACACAATGCTGCAGTGAAGAGTCCTGTTTTACTGCTACAGGAAACATATGAACATGTTTCCCAAGTTGTTCCATCCTAGAATTAGCTTTTATTTTTATGTTTCATTTTGGAACACCCGTTAAGTTTATCTTCTGGGCCACTAGTACTGAGCAGAACTTGAATTAAGATATAGTTTCCTGTAGGTATGCTTGTATCATCCATCTAAAATGAATGTTAAAAGTATCTGACTCAAAAATTCAGGTTATAGGACATACAAGTACACTGAAGACTCAGTGGTTGATTCGCAATCACTATTCAAGAACATAGGCTTAATAGGTCTCCTGAATTAAATGTACTGGACAGAAAAAAGGATCTCATTAACATTCTCTCATTTTGATTGTTGAAGGGCTTCAAAGCACTCTTAAACTTCTGGATTTTTTTCACATCGAGTTTAGTGCAGCTGGACTGATGCTGTTGGTCAAGGCAAGTCTTTTTCTTTCCATCACATGTACCGAACTTTATGAACTGATGGTTTGTAAAGTACTGGTCACATTCTCCACAGCGTACATTCTTGTAAGGCCCTTTGCCAGTGTTCATATTATGCATCATTCCCTCCTTAGGCCTATCTGCATTCTTTTGGAGTATGCACCAAATGTTTCCAGAGCATTTTAGCAGCAAGTAATAACTGCTCCCTCATTCAAGCAAATCTAAAATGCACTCATCAGAGTCACATTTTTTTTAGGACTTATCTTAATTCTGGAATGATTTAGAGATGATGTAGTAGTTGGTCACTTGTTTTAACAAAAGCATAATAACCTGCTGTTTTCTTCGTGTGAAGGTACAGCAACTTACCTGTTAAGGCTTTCCCATAATCTTTATAAAAACAGCATCCATTGTATTATTTTAGATCCCCTTAACTTTGGGGGTGATTTGGGTTTATGTGGTGAGATTTGATTCTAGATGTTTCTCCTTAATAACAATTTAAAACGAAATACTTGCTTGTTCACCTTTGTTTCCTGGCAATAACTGGTTTATGGCCCTGGGAAGAAAAATTTGGGCCAGTAAAACTAGCTGGGTTAGCCTGGTTCTTCACTGACTCCACAAATCACCCTACCATTTGTGCAAAGTCCACTCCAGAAGGAAAATGCTCTGAAGGTAGGACTCTTAACGTCCTAAACCAAAGACCCAAGATTGTTGGCCAATATTGCTTCCTTTGTGGACGCTTAGTGTAAAGAACACTAGACTGAGAGACAGAAAATGTGAATTTTATCAGCAGCCTAGATTCAAGAAACATGGGGCATATTAGGGTGGTCAGGTAATTTACTGTATAAACTATGACACTTCTGAAACTGAAAGGGACAATATTCATGATTGTACCAGGACAGCAGGTGGAAACTGGGACTGTCCTTGGCAAACCAGGACACGTGGTCACCCTAGAGACCCTTGAAAAATGATGCTGTGAGCCAGGTGTGGTGGCTCACGCCTGTAATCCCAACACTTTGGGAGGCTAAGGTGGGTGGATCACGAGGTCAAGAGATCGAGACCATCCTGGCCAACATGGTGAAACCCTGTCTCTACTAAAAATACAAGAGTTAGCTGTGTGTGGTGGCACGTGCCTGTAGTTCCAGTTACTCAGGAGGCTGAGGCAGGAGAATCACTTGAACATAGGTGAAGATTGCAGTGAACCGAGATCGGGCCACTACACTCCAGCCTGGACACAGGGCAAGACTCCGTCTCAAATAAGAAAAAAAGATGCTGTGATTAGGGAACTGATTTTAAATGTTTATCTCTAAAGGTTAGGACTGACAAATGACTAAGTGACTTTTCAAAGTAATTAGTGGATGAAGAAAAGTTATAAGCAGTCAGAGCAGGGCTTTAAGAACACCATCTCCTTAAGATTCTATTTTCAGTCTTGCAAGAAAAAAATTTAAGAAATTATTCTTTACTTTCTCTTTCCCAACACTTCTATGAATACACTATGCTGAATGCTTCCATTCATATCTTTTGTCACGGAAAAATATTTTTGATGTTTTATATTTGTATGGTTTTAATTGTTCTTCACATTTCCCTTTAGCCCAGTTTGGGGTAAGAAAAAGGGAAAGGGGAATAAGTAGAGGAAGAGGAGGGATGGAATTCGAAATACAAGTCCAGGGCAGGCACTTTCCCCTACTTCTGCTTTCTGGAGTGCACCTCAGATGGATAAAGGTGATCTTGGTTCCAGAGTATTTTTTGTATGATGACATCTTCACAGGCTGTGATTCTATTGTTGAAAGGTAAGTGTTGTCCACATAATATGGTCCCCAGTGCAAGGCAGCTACTTAGCACCCATGCCCATTCGAGCCTGCTTGACCCGAGATCTGCTGCTCTGCTCTAAGTCAGGGGCATTGACACCAGATGGATACATCTCCCAAGCTCCTGTGCCAGCTGGCTTCCAGTCAGGTCTTGTCAATGGGAGTCAGTGGCAAAAAGAAAAGAAAAGCGAGTATTTCTTTCCTACCTTCTTTGCCTCCAGCTGCAGCACCCAGAAGGAACCCGTGCTCTGCAGTGGGGGTTCTGCGTCCTCTGAGTGACCCTGGCCTTGAGCTTTGTGATGGCTTCCTCCCTCCACCCCACCGTCCTAGGGATAGCATTGGCTTTCCGCTGTTGCTAATTTCTATGCCAGTTCTGGAGGAAAAGATCAATGGAAGGGACTTATCATGAGATGGAATGTAGATCTCTTACATAAGACCCTCCCAAGGGCAATTTGATTATTCAAAAATTTCACCTTTTCTGTTGGCTTTAGACCTTACCATGCATAAGATGCAACTCAGTGCATTTGGTCTCCAAAGCTGAATGAATGTGCTCCACCAGAAGACCTACCTGATCAAATACCCAAGATATGTCTTAGAGATTGCAGTGTGAAATTATGAATGAGTGAAAATATCTTAATAAAAGGAAACTAGAAATCAAATATTTGTATAAGGATAGATTTGACTTTTTATGTGCTTTCAATGAGCTAGAAAATGCATACTATAAATAGAATATACAAATGATTTTACACAAATAAAGCATTAAAAAATTCACAAATTTTATATTTGGTTATTCACAGTCTATAAGATAATGTTCCCAAATTATACAGTTTAAAATATACAATGTTTCAAGTTGCAGACAAAACCAGGATAGTTTTGGTCCTCAATCATAACTATTAACATAAGTAGAAATTATAATTAATTTTAATATTGTGTTTAAATTTTAAATACTCTAGAATCTGAAAATATTAAATATTAAATAGATGGAGGGATAAAATTATCAAGTTTTGCAATAAAATTGAGGTAAAAAAAATCTGCATTAAATTACGCCAAGATAAAACATTGTTTCCATAACTCATTATAAATATTTCATCTTCCTAAAGTACTCTTTGATTACCTCTGGCCTTCTGAGTCTGGAAATTAAGTTGACTTAATATTTGCACATAGCTACTTATTACTTAATACAGACCTATCAGATAAAATTAAAATGCTGCAACTGGATCAGAATGCTGCAATCTTGTCTTGTATAAATATACAAATCACAGTATGCTGGCACGATATAATTTCAGCTTTAGTTGCCAAAGGGAATCCAGAATATACTATAAAATTGTATATAAAACAAACCTTTACAAGGATTTACTATGCTGACTACAAAGAAAGGCAAATTAAATATACCTGGTCCCACACAAGAATTGTTGCCTAACCTCATATGCTAATTTGAATATGAAGACTCACTTTTTTATTTTTTAATTTTTTTGAGACAGGGTCTCACTCACTCTGTTGCCCAAGATAAAGTGCAGTGGTGCGATCTCAGCTCACTGCAGTGTCTGCCTCCTGGGTTCAAGCGATTCTCCTGCCTCAACCTCCCAAGTAGCTGGGACTACAGGTGTGCACCACCACGCCTGGCTAATTTTTTTGCATTTTTTAGTAGAAATGGGGTTTCGCCATGTTGGTCAGACTGGTTTTGAACTCCTGATCTCAGGTGATCCACCCACCTCGGACTCCCAAACTGCTGGGATTACAGATGTGAGTCACCATGCCTGGCCTGAATATAAAGACTCACTTTAAATTATATTAGTTGAACCTTTATACTACAATGTATCCTGGCATTTATTTTTGAAAATCATTATCAGAGATTCCATGTTCTACTAGTAAAGGGAATTAGCATTTTCAATGTCCTGTCTGCATTCCTCCTAGCCTCTCTCTGCTCAGATTTTGGAAAATATATCTTTCAAATGCAATTGCAGTACCCAAGGAAAGTCCTCCCACCCACGCCACTAGTGTTCATCCTGTGGGCACCCCACAGTCAACAGTTTAAGACCATTCTGGATAAATGCAAATGCTTGATTCCATTTTTCCAAATCCCAATCAACTAGCTACACTTTTCATTATATACAATCTTTCCGACATTGCAGTAGACCAGTCTAGATGGCTGGGGAAAGGCAAAAGAACCCTGGTTGTGATTATTTTTTCCAACAAAACGGAATTAAAAGATGAGAAAACCTAGTAGTATTTTAGCCTGGTGCTTTTAGCATCCCCCACTTTTAATATTATAAATTCACAATAGTGAACACCCTAGTGACAACTTTTAAATAAAATACTGGATAGCCAGGCACAGTGGCTCACACCTGTAATCCCAGCATTTTGGGAGGCTGAAGTGGTTTAGTTCAAGACCAGCTGGGCCAACATGATGAAACCCCATCTCTACTATAAATACAAAAAAAATTAGCTGGGTGTGTGGTGGTGCATGCCTGTAATCCTAGCTACTCAGGAGGCTGAGGCAGGAGAATCACTTGAACCTGGGAGGTGGAGGTTGCAACGAGCTGAGATCAGACCACTGGACTGCTGGGAGACGGTGCGAGACTCTGTCTTAAAAAAACATAAAAAATAAAATACTGGATAATTACGTGCTATATTAAATTAATCATATGCTCACAATTTTAGCTTGGATTTATTTTGCAGCTAATTTGATGCTGTCTGAAAATCAAGCAGGTGATGAAAACTACATATTTTGAACATGCATTGAGTAATCAGGGAGCAACTTAGTGGAAACTAATAAGGCCAGCAACTCAGGGAAATTAGCCTATTCATTTGATATACTTGGCCTCCATAAAACTGCCATGGATTCAAATTGCACTCAAATGTAATACAACTTCTTAAATGCTACTTTATAAATCTGAAAACTTTTAAGGAGTCAAGATGCTAATCCCTAACAAAAGCAAAAACAAAACTAAGGTCTATGTGGTGTCATTGTTATTACCACTCTTTATAAAGCACTAAGTACGCAGGGGTGTTTGAGGTCAGGAATTCAAGACCAGGCATTGTCTCTTGAACTACAAAACTTTTAGAATCACAGCATTTTACACCTGAGAGGAATCTTAAAGGATACTGAATTTCGCTCCTCATTTTATAGCTGAGATGAGTGGGGGGAGGACTGACCATGGGAGTCGCATTTTTCAAGCACCCAGGCATGCTGGGTTGGGTGTTTCAACTATAGTTTCTCTTTTCTCACAGTCCCAGGCAGGTTGCATTAACCTCCACTTCATAGCTAAGTAAATGCGGATCTATCATATTGAATAGTTTTCCCCAAATAAATGCACTAATGAGGAACAGAAGGAATCCAATGTCAAAGTTAGTGTTCTTCTCAGAGTAATTATTTGCAAAGTATGGTCCTGGGACCAGCAGCTGGGGCATTACCTGGTCACTTGTTAGAAAGGCAAATTCCCAGGCCCACCACCACTACCCCCAGGCCTACTGAATCAGAAATTCTAGGGTGGTGCTCGCAATCAAGGTTTTGTTTTGTTTCTAATAGACAGGGGTCTTACTGTGTTGCCCAACCTGGTCTTGAACTCCTGGGTTCAAGTGATCCTCCTGCCTCGGTCTCCCAAAGTACTGGAATTACAGGCATGATCCACTGTGTTTTTCCCTCTCTGTCAACAATGTATATTCAACAAGGTCTTCAGGTGATGCTGATGCTGTTTGAGAGCCACTGCTCTACAACATGTTGTCCCTGAAACTTTACTTGATAGTATGCATATTAAAATATATATAACTTTACACTACACTACTACAAAGGTCAAAATAATTTAGTGTATTGTACTTTATTTTAATGGATACTTTAACAGATACGTCAATGAAATTTTGCTTTGGATGTTACATGGTCTGATCAACAAGGGATTTATAAGAAAAATAAATGTGAAAGCTATTTCAAGTAAGCAAATGCTGGCAAAAACAATCTGAAGAATTGGTTTTGGTCAGGCACAGTGGCTCATACCCATAATACTAGCACTTGGGAGGTCATGGCGGGTGGATCACTTGAGCTCAGGACTTCAAGTGGCCAACATGGCGAAACCTTGTCTTCACCAAAAATACAAAAATTAGGCAATATAGCAAGACCCCACCGCTACCAAAAATACAAAAAACTAGTCAGGCATGGTGGCACATGCCAGTAGTCCCAGCTATTCAGGAGACTGAGGTGGGAGAATGGCTTGAACTTGGGAGGCTGCAGTGAGTCAAGATCCTACCACTGTACTCCAGCCTGGGTGACAGAATGAGACTCCATCTCAGAAAAAATTCACCTGGTGTCAAAAATAAGACTCTGAAATAAATCTTCTGTCTGCCTTGCAAAGACTCAATGAAATTAATGGATACTCTCACAGGACTGACTTTAATACTAAACACTTGCTGTAATCAAAACTAGGTACAAGAAAATCAAGTAGAGAAATACTGACTGCCTAGCATATAAGGATCTAAGTGAAAGTTAATAAAAGTAGCTCTTAAAATAGACATCTCATGCAAAATTAAAAACTAAGAATTTCATGAAGACCTGTTAAGAGTTTCAATTTAGAAGTTTTACTTTCCCAGTTTTAAAATATCATGAATGAAATAGTATCTTCATCTAGGTGCTCCTCCAGCAAAACCCCTAGTTCAAAAACAAAAATCATGTTTGTGTTAGCACAAATTCAAAAATGCTCTTATTGGAGATGTGGCCATTTCACACGAACATTCTAGTAAATATGCATATAGAAGGTACACATTACTTTTGGTTGGTAATTTTTCTTTAAGTATATTTCAATTATTTCATTGTTTGACATTCTCATAGTTAACATATACTGAGTACAGAAAATTTTGTAGGAAAACACTATTTTTTAAATGTAGTAACATTAAAATATTAAAATGTCCCCAGTTTATTAAAGGATCTTAAGACTTAAAGAAAAATTTCCTATGCACATACAATGCACCTATGAAATATTGTATTATTAATTACTACACAGGTAAATGAGGCTGTTACTGTAAAAAAAATGTGGTGTCTAGAAATTGCAAATCTACGTGAAAAATGAACTTCAATTTATCTAAATGGGATTTTGGGGACATGACAGACTATTAAAATAGAACTCAAACTTCAAATTCTGTAAACTGAACATCTCATTAATGCCACTTCATGATTTAAAAAAGCACACAAAGTTAGCTACGTAAGTTTATCTGCAGATGTTACAGGTAATTATTTCTGTTAATTCCTTCTAACATATTTAGTAATAAAGAATATTTCAAAAGGAGAGTAGGGAGAAATGAAGCAAGATCATAACTATAATTACTTCATATGAAAATAACATTTCATTTATTTGCTAATATGTGAAAAAAAATGCTTTCTAATTAATTCCTCTTTTATCCTTTTTAAAGACATTTTATTTCTTCAACCAGCACACTGAGGATTAGTGCTACGGATATTACCAGTGCCTTATGAAAAAATTTGGCTTCCAGAGCAGTCATACCTTGCAACCCCAAATTGGCTCCACGTGATTAATTTTAAAGTGGGCATTAGAATTCTTCTGAAACAAGGCTGTGTACCTTTGAGAACATTCACATTTAACCTTGTGAGCTCACTTCTACAAGAACAATGAACTTATTTGTCAGCTGCCAAGGGGAAAATCAGATTAATGTAAAGATTAATTAAATCAGGCTGACAGAAGCCAGTATCTCAATTTTTTTTAATTAAAATTTATTTAAAGGAATAAGTATGAGTGCATTACAGAAACCTAATAGCTTTTCTAAGCTCCAAAAAGCATTCATTTCAAAAGCATTCACTTTTAAGGCTGCCTCATTTTTCAGCGTCGTTGTAGTTGAGATTCTGGTGTTCACCTGACAGGAAGTCTTTCTGACAAAACAGACTTCCTTCAATCAAGGTCATAATTTGAAACATTATACAATAATGAGATTTTAAGTTATAAATGGAAAGAAAAGTAGGAGACTGAAAAGATATCAGAAATTTCTACTTGTTTTTAGATTCGGAAAAATATAATTACAGGCCAACATGGTTCTGATAGAGAAGAAGGACGTCAGCAGTTACCTGAATGTAACCCCTTCTCAGCATTTCCAAAGACCCGAAATGTGGTCATTGTAATCTAAGGGCCTTGTTACCAAGTTTCTACGTAATCCACAGAATTGAGGCAACCCGGCACAACTTTATTTCTTGAGAAGATGAACCCTTAACTATGAAGGTGCAGAAAGGAAGTTTTCAACTGCTCACTCACCATGGCTACAGTATTCAAATACAACATTCAGAAAAATAAAACCTGTGAGAAAAAGATAATAGGTGGGCAAGCAAAGCAGCAGTGATTCATACTTTCAGTTAACCAACTGAATGGTGGTACTTCTTTCTAAAGGAGTAGTTCTTTAATTTAAGAAACAGAAAAGCAGCAGCGTACTGGAAGAAGACTGGCTGAAGATCTCTCCAGCATGTTAACTACGCCTTAGTACTTCCAGAATCCTGAGTGACAACACATGACCTGTGTGATGATATGAGTACAGAGCACATGAACAACCAAAAGATTCTAAGCTCAGCCTCTTTCTCTAGCATATTTACAGAATAATTTTAAATTTCTGTTTCACCTCCACTACTTCAACTACTTAACCCTGTAAATTGATGAAGGTCTTTGTGAACTGTCAAATAGCAAAAACAAAAATTAAAGGTATCTACATAATAAACTTCAACCAAAAGTAGTCCTTGAGTAATTAAAACGTTATTTCATTAAGCTCTTTTTAAAAGGAAATTCCTTAGAAGTCCACATTCTTTACATGTCTTCACCCTGTTGAGCTAAACAGGTCAAAAGTATAATAAAATCAACATTATTTTTAACTTGCGTTATTGGTGGTGCCAAATGAGAAAAGCGCTGTTTTTGCCATTTTGGGCTGGATGATTAAAAAAAGAGAGAGAGTTGTTTGTATTTTAAATTTAATATCATAAGCAATTTTTAAAGTTAATATAATATAGAAGTTCTCAGAATGAAGCAGAAGGAAGGCTAAACTTCATTTTATTTTATTTTATTTTATTTTATTTTTTATTTTTTTATTTTTTTGTATTTTTAGTAGAGACGGGGTTTCACCATGTTGACCAGGATGGTCTCGATCTCTTGACCTCGTGATCCACCCGCCTCGGCCTCCCAAAGTGCTGGGATTACAGGCTTGAGCCACCGCGCCCGGCCTAAACTTCATTTTAGACTCGTGGTAACACCAAAGCAATTTGAGGTATGTGAATAGGAAGCTAAACACTGCACAGGGAATTCTTAAAAATCCGATTAGTTAAGAAATTTGGAAGAAAACTAAACTATTCACACAAAACTTGAAAAGAATATTGATTAATCAAAAGCCTGTGAACACTGGGACATACCTTTACTGATGTCTATGGTGAATAGAGTCCAGGAGCAGCTGCACAGCAAGTACGTGTAAGGCCTAAGTTTAAGAACTGCAATTAGGAGTATTTTACATTTAATTTAATCTTAGTAGAGGAAAAGGTCAGATATGATTTTATAAACAGAATCCCTTCTCACCTTTCTTCCGTGGTACTTCAACCATTAATTTATTCAGGAAAACCAAAATTATTTAAAGAGGCATCTAGTTCTAGAGTAATCTGGCACATTTATATTTGAAAAAATTAGAAATCACTTGATACATCTATAATACACAAATACACATAAAAACATTGTATTTTAATAACACTCTTTGTCACTACAATTTAAATCATTCCATTATGAAAATTTCTTAATTTAAAGAGAGAATATCTCTTCAAAACTCTAAATTAAAAAGAGCTTTATCAATTAAGTTTACAGCAATATACCCTCTAGAAATACATAATTCTTCATTTTATAATACTTCCCCTTTAAAAATTTGCCATGGTTTGTCACAGATTTAAAATACAAGGCACCTAATGCTATAAAAGAATAATACAATAAATGTAGTGTAAGTGAACCTGATATTTTCTCAAATATTTATTCTTTTTAAAGTCCCACGAAATTTGCACAAGCATGCTTGTTGCATAAATTAAACATTTTTTTGTGTGGTTCATTTGCAATATTCTACAAAACCCATATAATCCATACTTATTACAGGTAGCTTAATTTAGCCTTTTACCTGTCAGAAACACTGATCTATGAACACTTAAATGATTTCTTGAAAACATTTCCATAATATAGTCCAGCATTTAACAAATATGTGAAAATAAAGTCTCAGAACATTAGGATTTATTCCTTGATTAGTTCAAATGATTTCAACAGCTGAATTCCTTGAGATGTGTAAGGCAGGTTGGTCCTTTGGATGGACTGTAGACTGGAACTTCCTATAATTGTAGTGATATGTACACAGCTACATAGCAAAGTGCTTCATTATGAAAATGAAGAAAACATATATGAGAAAAATATATTTTAGAGTTTCAAATAACTGAAACTGTTATTTTCCAGACTAGGCACTGAAATATTTTTCTACAAAAACTTGCCAGAGATTGTCTCTTCGCTGTATAATGTTCCAATTTCAAGCTAAAAACAAAAACCACAGAAGTGTGATTAGATTATAATTTCCATAGCTTTAGTTTGCTATAGTTTATGTCTTAAAATTAAAATATCTATTTTCACTGTATACATTCTTAATACCTGGATACTGAAACTTGGAGTATTAAGAATTTATAAATGTGACTTCTCCAGCAATGCCAAAAGCCGACATCAATACTAGAGATTGTGTATTAGCAGTTAGTTTTACTCCTGGTATATTACACCATTACTCCTGCAGAGACAAAGACACTTGCCCAGTCTATTCTACTCTATTGCAATGCATCTTCTTTGGTCTTCACTCTTTCTTCTTTATCCAGCTCTCACGTCTAAAAATACTGAAAAACTTGCTGGTGGGTATGGCTGGGTTTAAGTATGAGTATGAGAACAATGAACAGCATATCAAAGAAAAATAATACATAAATTACAGCATTAAAAGCTTTCAAAGAATACAAAGTCCTCACTTAATATCATCAATAGGTTCTAGGAAACTGACTTTAGTTTACTGAATAACATTGTTTTGTTCAATGATGTTTCATTATAATGTTGATGCAAAAAAAATGGTTTTGCTGTCATTTTGCTTAAAGTCACAGTTTACAAGAACCTAATGATGATGTTAAGTGAGGACTTAAATTGTGTCTACAGTTTTTTAAAATTTAAAGATGGCACATAAACACATATTTAGTTCTACTTGCATTCTAAAACTTCACTTGAAAAAAAAGACAATAAAGGGTTAAAAAAAATTTTTTTAATACACATAAGGTCTCATTATGTTGCCCAGGCTAGTCTCAAACTCTTAAGCTCAATGATCCTCCCTCCTCAGACTCCCAAAATACTAGGATTATAGGCATGAGCCACTGTGCCCAGCCTGGAATTATTTTCTTAAAAGGAATAAACCACATGGACAAAAAGAAAAGTAGAGAGACGAGAAAATAACAGCCAACTCTTAGCAATGGAAAAATAGGACCAGATATCTCTGTAAAGAGGGGTGAAGAAACAACTAAAAACAAGAAGACTGGTACAATGTCTGTAGCAAAAGCAGACAGTCTCAGATGTTCTCTCTTACTTTTCACAGTTGGCCAAGTGCATTTTCTCTATCCCAGGAGAAGACTTAAGGTTTATTCTGCAAAAAGAGTAGTAACAGAGACTCTCTGGATAGGGGAAATACCAAGCAGAATCCTACATGACTGAGCTATAAGTAATAATTATTTAATGACAACAATATAAACACTGACTACAGATCTACTCAAAATTGATGAGGAGGAGGCAGAACTGATAGGGAGACAGGAGGCATGTGAGGTGCGAGCAGAGGAGGAATAAACTTGAAAAGAAATCTGTTCTCATTGATCTTAGTGGAAAAGTCAACTGAAGATGCCTAAAACCAAAAACGCATGAATCAGAAATCACAAGCATGATGCTTAGGGAGATAAGGAGGAAAATACCAAAAGAATCAGCTAAGAGTTTAATTTCCTTAGAGTGGAAAGAGAATGAAAGCAGGATGGGCAGGGCAGTGAAGGGCAGGGGTAGCTGCCTTGCACAAGAAGTCTTGGAGAACTAGAGGTAAAACCACATGCAGGTATAAACATCATAAAGTACAAAGTAGGTTTAAAAACAGCCCACTAAAGAAAAACAGAAAAACAGGACAATTAGCCATAGGTTAGAGGCAAGTTTACCATAAGGATAATGAAACTTAATCTTCAAGGCCAGTATAAGTGTTAACAATTGACAAGAGTTGTACAATGTTCTAGGTAGGGAGGAAAAACTCAGTAGCAATTAAAAAACATTTCAATATAAACTGCCTAAAGATGTCTCAGAAAAAGGGACCTGGATCTTCAGAATTCTAGTAGTTTATTGTGATCTTTCATTCTAAATAAATAATCACTTTTGTACCTGCAAATTCTGTATGTTGGATTTAATTCAAGCAAAATATTAAATGTCATTTACTCTATCATCTAAGACATATAAAAGACACTATTTCTTAAAATGTAAAAAAAGGAAAAATATTCCAGAAGCATTGTTAAGTGACAAAGCACCGTCAGAGAATGAGAATATACATTGTGCCGGTGATATAAAACACACATATAAAGACTAGTATTTTCCAACCAGTTGTACACCAGAATACTACATTTTTCTTTCTTCTATCATCAGAGAAAAAATATTTTTCTCAAACATATCATTAAACAAAATAACCCTTAGCATTAGTGAGTTAAAACTTTCTGATCATTTGAGTCAGACACTACTGTACATACTTTAAATTAACCAAGTATTTACTCTTTTAACACCATTATGAGGGAGGTTCCATTGTAATCCCTTTTCACAAATAAGAAAACAGAAGCATCAAGAGATTAAGAACCTTGCATAGGGCCATACAGCTAGTATGTGGAGAAGATGGAATTGGAGCCCAGACTTTAGCCCCCTTAGCCTTTAAGACTGTATTGCCTCTCAAAAAACTAATTATAGAAAATCAATCCTGTGTTTGAATATTACAGAAATAAGAGCCTTACTCAACATTAAAGCCAGCTCACATACAAACCTGGGCTACCGACAACAGCTAACTAGTTCCATCCTCCTGAGAAACACTGTGCATAGAAATGAGACTCTCACACTGTTCGCTGTCTTCCGGAACTCTTAAGGAAAAAAAAAAAAGCAATAATTAAGGAAAGCTTTAGAGCTGAAAAGGAACCTTAAACCTTATTTATTCCACTGGCTGAAGCTATATGGGCAGGATGCAAGCCAGTGGCAGAACCAAGATTAGGATACAATTTCCCAACAACTTGTCCCAAGTTAGTGTTTTTCGTTTTTGGTTTTCATTTTTGTTTTTTAAATAAGAGATAGGGTCTCACTCTGCCACCCAGGCTAAAGTGTAATGGTGCTGTCATAGTTCACTGCAGCTTCGAATTCCTGGGCTCAAGCGATCTTCCTACCTCAGCCTCCCAAGTAGCTTGGGACTACAGGTATATGCTATCGTGCCTGGGTAATTTTTTTTTTTTATTTTCTAGAGACAGGGTCTTGATATGTTGCCCAGGTTGGTCTCAAGCTCCTAGCCCAAGCAATCCACCCACCTCAGCCTCCATAGTCACTGGGGCGAAGTTCTTTTTATAGCAAAATGTAAAAAGCTTTCTTTCTTAAAAAGAAAGAAATTTGAAAGAAAAATTGAGGCAATACTATCATGTTCTATTGTGAATTATGTTCAAACCAATACAAGTTTTCCATATTTAAGTTCGTTATGGCAAAACAGTAAACTTTTTGGTATTACCTGTGAATCAAAACATTTCTTTTGAAAATGTAGTTACTAGGTGGGCAGATCATTTGGGGTCAGGAGTTCAAGACCAGCCTAGCCAACATGGTGAAACCCTGTCTCTACTGAAAATATAAAAATTAGCTGGGCATTGTGGTAGATGCCTGTAATCCCAGCTAGCCAGGAGTCTGAGGCAGGAGAATCACTTGAATCCAGGAGGCAGGCAGAGGTTACAGTGAGCCGAGAGCACGCCATTGCACTCCAGGTTGGGCTACAGAGCAAGACTCCATCTCAAAAAAAAAAAAAAAAAAAAGAAAGAAACTATCTTATTACCCAAAAGATCTAAACAAATTATTTTATTTTTATCTGCATTGTTATAATCTTTCAATAACTCCTCACAAAATCTCTAAAAGGTAGGCCAGCATGATGTGATTCTCAGTTTATTTAGCAAACACTATTTTAAAAAATCTGTATTGGGACTAAACCTACCTCTGAATCCGATGTTTTCTGCATATAAAAGCAAATATTCTTCTGATTCCCACCATCACAGGATCCCAATTATTATAATGGCATAGGAGAGTTACAATAAAAAATGAAAAAAATACAGGGATAGCTCCTGCAAAAAATAACCAAGAAAACTGCACCTAAAAATAAAAGAGGAAAAAACAAACCCACAATTATCATTAAGGCAAATTCCCCCTTCAATGTAAGTTTTCTATTTGTGAAAACCAGGAGGAATAAGAACACCGACAGACAAAATTAATCATTGACAATTTATTATTATTAAGTGTATTATTATGAAATAAGAATTCAAGACTTCGACTTAAAATTCTACTTGTCTAAATTACCAACAACAATAGTTCTTGCTTGGAAAACAGGCTAAAGGAAAGCCAAGAAAGCATGCTTTCCATTTATTAGGCATAATACACTGAGAGTGGAGACAGACAGTATGAAACTTTGGTCTTGCACACCATGCTGCTCATTTCTTCTTCACTGTTTGCTGCCTAGTCTCAAGTGGTTCCCTCTGCCTCAGTTTCTGAAGTCATCTTCAAGAAATGTACGTTTTTGTAAAAAGCTATAGTTGTGCTATACTGTATATGCTACACTTCTTATGTCAGTACCAAAACAAATGAAGTACAAATTTATGACACTTAAGTGCAAATTTATAACACTCAAAACTAGCTTGATTATCTAGTAATAAATGAAAAACAACTCAAAATAAAATAATTACCAAGTAAAATGAAGAAAAAACATAGGAACATTTTTACTAAGGAATGTTAGCTAGAGAAGACAAGCAACAACACACGCCTCATCAGTGAAGAGCCCTCTGATGTCAACAAGTCTGATCCTCCAATCCATCATTTATCAGGGTTGCCAAGAAAATAAAAAATAACAGTAATAGGGTAGAGGTATTAAAATCAAAAAGAAAAATAATAAATAAGGAAAACAAATGAATAAATAAAAAGAAAATAAAAAATAATGAGATGCCATAATGTTACCAAAACAAAACTCATTCTTCCCTTTCACTAGTTCACTTTTACCATCTAGACTCAACTAAGGATCAGAAACAATTGTCAAAGAAGCCCATAAAGATTAACTACTAAGACTTAAGTGCAACACACAGGAGGTTTGCTTTAAAAATAATTATGAAAATAGTAACATCTACCTGTAAAATAGGTAAGGAAAACTGTGTTCGCCTTCTTTGAGAATTAAAAAAAAAAAAAGGTCTGGAATCATAGGCAAGACTCCCTCTGGTGGAAGACATATACTATTCCATTTCATAGCACCATTAGTCAGAGTAAAGGGGTTTTGCAAGAATAATGTATTTTATGAGGGAACTCACAATGCATAATACAAGAATAATAACTGACAACTTTTAACATGCGTGCCCTATTTGTATGGCATTCACACACAGTGACTGAGTCAGCCTAAGAACACCCTGGAAAGAACAGTCATTAAACTAAAAAGCTTTCATTTAGTTATGAAATTACCAATATATTTTAACATATTCCTGGAATATTTGCCAGAATGTCTAATAATCAGGAAAAACCACGTTGCATTTAAATTACCCAAGATCAGAAAAGATATTAAGAAGTCATAAATAATGCAATTAAAAATATAGATATAGTTGATGGAATGATTTCATGAATATTTAACTAAAAACCTTATTTCATAACTGAATTAAAGCAAACTTAATAAAGGTAGATAAAGCCCTAGAAGACTTTAGAGGGCAAGTTCACTTTCAACAATGTTGTTTATGCGTTGTCTTATAATTAAAAACTTCTAATTAGATTTTCAACAAGCTAAGACAAAAGAAATGAAGCCATTTATTTATTACAACAAAGAAAATTACCTATGTAAACAAACAAACAAAATTTCCAATTCCTAGACATATCTGAATATAAAATGGAATAAGATCAGGGATGCTTCCTATTATATAAAATAATTATAAATTTAAATAACCAATTTGTTTCAAGAACAATAATGCTAATAAATGCTAACATTTCAGAAGCTATACATAAATACAGATAGCTAATAGAACCTAAAAACCCTATAAAAGTAGATTTCTCTTACCATGTTTCTGTTACAGTTCTGGGCACATCTGCTGCTTTTTCCAGATGGAATCTCCCTAACCTCAATCCTAACACCAAAGGTACAGCCTACTCATTTAACTGATGCCCATTTCTAGATATGAAGACAATCAAGAAAACCAAATCTTTTCTTATTTGTCTTCATATCTAGAAATGGGCAATCAGTTAAAGTTTGGTTATGTTTTTATAATTAATTGCATGTACATACATTTCCCCCTGTTTTGCCTTTATCTTAAAATACTTTATTAAACAAATTATAACCATTATTATTTGTAATGACAATTATTAAATGATCAATCATTTAATAAAATTAGGTCCCTCTGACAATTCTCTTAAAAATTCCTGAACATTAAACCTGCAATTTTTTTCCAATCTACGAAAGCTTATGTTTTTAAAATATTAGTACAATAAAGATGATTTACATAGTAGTCTACCAAAATCCTCTAACAAGTAGCACTTTCTCAGTTTCACAACCATTTTGGTTCATATTCAGGATTATGGCCTGAAGATACAGAAGGACCTGGATATTATTTAAATTTATAAAAGAATGATATGTAATAATGTGTAATATTAGTGTTATACAGAATATTCACATTCTTTGAAAATGCAAGTTATGTAAGATAATTCTGAAGTAAGGAGAGAATCGCAGTTATTTAACCATGACAAATAAGTAAGAATTTACTGAACCATAAAACAAAGTCAAACGTCAGTACAGAATTTATAAGTAAAGAGGATATATAGCACTGAGAATACCTGTCTTTAATTTTTTTTTTTTTTTTTTTTTTGAGATGGAGTCTCATTCTGTTACCCAGGTTGGAGTGCAGTGGCCTGATCTTGGCTCACTGCAACCTCTGTCTCCCAGGTTCAATTGATTCTCCTGCTTCAACCTCCTGAGTAGCTGGGAATACAGGTGTGAGCCACCATACCAGGCCACTTTTATCATAAAAACTGCACAAAGACCTAAAGAAAACTAGCTTTAAAAATTTGATTATTGCTTGTACACATTATAAAACTTTGGGCCTTGAAGTATTTCCCTCTTCAAATTATATTAGACTAAAGCACATACACATACTTCTATAACTTAGTAGTTGAAGATAAATGCCTACAAGTACTGAACTGTGTGATAAATGGCTATGATCCCTTTTCAGTGTTGAGCAACAGCATACCTCTGTTCTTCCTGCTACACCTAGGAGCACTGAAGAAACTCTTCCCTTCTAGGCTGCTGGCAAAAACATCCCAGATTCTCTTTTCTGTGGTGTTAGCATTGCCAACATTTATCATGAGAAACCCCACATCCATACTAGGCCTTCAGAGAAGAGGGATGGGACACCCACTCTGCTGAGTCCAGAAAGAGATGGCTAACATTCACTGCAAACAACATTATTCATGTGCTGCTCATATCTTCAGTAGTATCAGCACAGTGTTAAGGAACCTGTGATAGGAGTTTATCGCAGAAACTAAAATACTTTTATGATGAAATGTGACTTACCAAAGAACATCTGGAACATAATCAGCTCAAAAACTGGAGAACTACATATGAAGATGATGCCCTTAACTTAGAAATTAAGGGAAAAAAATGGAAAAGCTAAAAATGGAAATTATCTATTTCTCTGGTATTTTTTATATTTCTATCTAGTGAAGCACCATGGGAGAGAAGGCATCAAGTATTGTTTATGTTTGTATCCTTATAATTAAATCACTTCTCAACTCTTGTCAGGTTTGTTTTCATAACATACATAAAATACCTATTAATATTAAATAGTTTCCTTACCTTTTGCATACACATGTCAGCTATTATGGACAGAGGTATTGTAAGGCTTAGCGCAAGTGTGCCTATCAATGATGAGGTAAGAAAGCATCCCCTAAAAAAAAAAGAAAATACACATTTCTATATTTATAAAATTACAGAAACAAAAACATTGAACAAAGACTTTCTAACTTATAGGCTTATTAGATCAGGAGCAAAAATAAGAGGTTAGGATAGACTGAGACAAAAAATAATAAAGTTATTAAGATGATTCTCAAAGTTTTTCTTCAAATATTAAAAATACAAATATACAAGTATAAAAAGTTCAAAATATTTTATGCTATTTTCAAGATCTGTTTGCAGGTATTATTCACCTTTGGATGTATAGCTTATATTTCACTAATTAAAAAAAAACTGTTGAACAATTATTACAGTTTTGTGATGATATGTAGATAACAAAGAAAACAGCATTATTAAAATTGCAGGACATATCTCACCTTCATGAACACTAAAATAGTGTGTTATTCTTTTTTTTTTCTTTTTTTGAGTCAAAGTCTCATGCTGTTGCCAGGGTTGGAGTGCAATGGTACAACCTCAGCTCACTACAACCTCCGCCTTCCTGGTTCAAGTGATTGTCCTACCTCAGCCTCCTGAGTAGCTGGGATTACAAGCACTCACCACCACACTTGGCTAATTTGTTGTATTTTTAGTAGCTATGGGGTTTCACAATGTTGGCCAGGCTGGTCTCAAACTCCTGCCCTGTGTCTACCCGCCTTAGCCTCCAAAAGTGCTGGGGTTACAGGTATAAGCCACCACGCCAGGCCCAATAGTGTGTTATTCTTTCGATTTGGCTTGGCATAGAAACAAAAGAATTGAATATTCTTAAAAATATATTTTTTTGTTGTTTTCCATTTTTTTAACAATTGTCCCAACCAAAAGCTAAGCTCTTGAATTATCAATGTGAGTATGAAATATTGAAATATCAATCTACATATAATTTTGTTGAATTGAAGGAAAATACACCCAATGGAGACAGATGAGCCATTTATAAAGACTGATAATTTGGATATATAAGGAGAAAATGAATTGTAAGCCGAGATAAAACCATAATGTATATATATAATTAGGACTACAAATCCATGGAAGTTATAGGCAAGTAAAATCTAGCTTGGTATATGTTCGAATTAATAATGCTATCCTGAAATAAAAGGGCTATCTCTTAATAAAGTGTCACTAGAAGTACTGAACAGAGGCTGAACAATGAGTCCTTACTGATGAGGTAAAGGGAACTTAAGCACTTGTGGTTCCCAGTACTTAGCTGCTCTGTGAAAAGAGCATTCAGGGTCAAATATAGCATATATGTTCTTGGATATTTATCATGCAAAGTACTATAACAAAAAGCCTGGAAGGTAGAATTATAAAGCCTGTTTGACTTAATCCAGCTTTTAAGCTGGATCCAATTTAGCTGATGACTAAAGCCTTTTGTCATCTGTTAAGAGTTCAGGTTAAAAAAACTGAGTATCTAAAATGTACACAGTTAAAGATGAAAAAATTAATGAGTAAATGGATTATGAGTTTAAAGAATTTTAGATCAGCAAAGGAGTTTAAGAAAATAAAATCAAAGTAAATCTTTAAGTATTATTTACTCTTCACAAAAGAGAGTGAATATAAGATATACCAAGAAAACAAATATTCCTTAACTGGGCAGGGAGGCACAGCACTGTAATCAGAGCTTTAAGGAAGTCTCCCCAAAAAAGTCTATTTCTGTTGCAGTCTTTTGCAAGGGAAAACTAGTTAACAGTTTCAATGGGTATGTAATAATATTCATTTTATTCATTTATGTTTTATTCATTTCTTTTTAAGTTTCTATCAAACAGAAATAGGACTAAGTATAAAGCTCTATTATTTGAAAGGTCTCCCAAATTCCATACATAATATTGTCTTCATATTATTTTAAGCTTATTATTGCATATCAACATATTGGATATTTAGCATATCAAAGTATGTTAACATCTCAAATCAGAGTTTAAGGTTTATGTTTCTGGCTCACCCATATCAAAGGTCCTGAAAATAAATAAAACAAAAACACCTATGAACAACCAAACAGATATTCCAAAGCCTCTTAAATAAGCACCAGCTCCTGGATTCTCAATTAGAACTCATGCATTCCTACTTGACATAGAAACCTTATACATTTGGATATTCATTAGGTAATAACTACTTTCATTTGCATAACACTCTACTTTCTAAAACACTTTTACAGATTTAGACCATTCATATTCATTCCTTCGTTCATTGAGCTCCTTCTGTGGACAAGGCACTCCTCTATGGAATGGGCACACAGAAGTTAAAAAACAAAGTCCCTGCTCTAATGGAGTTAAAGTATTCAGCTGTATGTGTGCTGTGGGGCGGGGTACACAGGAAGGGCCATCAGCAAACAGACAAAATATAAATGCTTAAAGTACATACCACAACCATAGGAACTCTGAGAGTACTGTTCCAATAAGGCCATTAATGATAATGCACATTAATACTACTTTATTGGGAAACTCGAAGTCCTCAAATCCAGTATAATGTAGTAAAAAGAAACCTGGCCATAAGAGCAGCAGATTAAACAAACCTACAAAACCTGAATATGTATAAAGGAGACAAAAGTTAGCATTGTGATTGATTTCTATTTTCCAAGCTTATTAACTCTAAAATCGAAATTAGATTTTGCACAAAAGGGCTCTGGGAGGTTTCCTTAACTAAAACTTCTGTTGGTTTCTTTTTAAGTCAGTCGTGTGAATAGCTCAACACCATAAAAAAAAAACTGTATGATCACTGAACTCAACCATCCACACTGTACTGGAGCAACTACTGTGGAATAAACCTCATAGGACAACTCAAAAAGAAGGGTTGTTAACCTTAGCTACTGATAATATAGTGCCCTAGAACTTCAAAGAAATAGCTGGTATGTATGTGTTTGTGTACTCAGCCTAAATTAATTTTGTGGAATTAAATGGTTTGCTCTCTGATTCAACTATTTATGTCCAAAACACTTGTGCTATGCGAGCAGCAATGAAAGAAGGTTCCAAAGGAGATAAAACTGTTGGTTCCTGTCTTCCCAGACCGCTAGCTAGTTAGTGAGAAAGTATGTACACACAAAGAGCTATTCAACATATGAATGAAATACAGACTAACTAGTTATTAAGGAAAGTCATCCTACGTAGTGGTTAAGTGTGTGCCCGGCAGTCTGATGGCCTGGGTCCAATCGCAGCTCTATCTATCATTCAATAGTAGTGCAAACCTTATACCTCTTTTATGCCTCAGTTTTCCAATCTATGAACATAAAATAACATTTAATAATATTTAATTAGGTTGCTGGGAAGATTAGACAAAACACATAAAATATAGCACAGTATCTGGCACATAGTAAGCACTTAATAAAAGTTAGCTAATACTATTACAGAAATTAAGTTTATATATGACCATATACATCTGAATGTAAAGACTATAAACAAAAAAGATTATAACTGTATAATAATTTTTGTTGTACTTTCTATACAGTTTATGTTACAAATTTGCTATATGATCTATGCGGTAACTATACCAAGAAAATTATAGTAGATATATAACTGATACTTATTATGTCACCTAAATAATAAGCCAGTAATTAGGATGCCTAGTTATATTGTAAAAGGGCAGGAGCACCCACTTTCTATCTGATGCTAAACACTCACACCTACCCCACTTCTGTGAAGGGAGGCAGATAAACCTGCTTTTCCCAGAAAGTTCTCACCCTCTACCCCACCCCCATCTTCTGAAGCTCATGACTAATTGACAGAGGATTTGCAAGGCCAGCCCTCATGGCTCAAGGCCCAGACATATTACCTGCTCTCGCTCTGCTCCCCGCCCCAGCACCTGCAATGAATTGGGCCAAACCTCAGTTATCCCTGTGTGCTACATAGTTCTCTCCCCTTCTCTGTCTTGCTTCTTTCACTCCAAGTTTTTCCTTCGTCAAACTCCCCGAAATAAACTCACCTACACAAAATCCCCATCTCATATCCTGTTTTAGGGAGCCTAACTGATATGGTTTGGCTCTGTGTCCCCACCCAAATCTCATCTCGAATTGTAATCTCCACACGTTAGGGAGGGACCTGGTGGGAGGTGACCCCATCATGGGGGCAGTTTCCCCCATGCTGTTCCCATGATAGTGAGTTCTAAAGTGTTTTAAAGTGTTTAGCAGTTCCCCCTTCATTCTCTCTCTCTTGCCAGTGTGTAAAACATGCCTTGCTTCCCATTCACCTTACACCATGATTGTCTAAGGCTTCCCCAGCCATGCAGAACTGTGAGCTAATTAAACCTCTTTTGTTTATATATTACCCAGTCTCAGATAGTTCTTTATAGCAGTGTAAAAACAGACTAATACAACAACTTAAGACATCAAGTGATTTTAAAAAAGAAAAAACCACACATACACAGAAAGGACACCTGACCTAAAATGCCTAAATAACATTGCAAAGCTGATCTAATGAAACATCAAAATTTGGCATTACCAAGAACTAAATCTATTTCCCTGAAGTGCTGAGTCTATGAAATCCCACATAAATTAACAACTTTTGACCTAGAGACAAAAGTCCCAATGACTGCACCTATTCCCTAGACTGCCCAGAATCTGGCACCGCACACCTTTCTGTTCTTCCACAAACAGAAGTGCCAACACAATCACTCAGAACTACTCACTGCTCCTTGTTAAGCCTCTGCTCACACTTCTTTGCCTGAAGAGCCCCAACACATCAATCCTAACTTCTCTGAATCCTGTCTATTCTAAAGCCCAGGGCAGGTCAATATTGCTTTATATATCACATCACATATGAACAGGAACAACACAAGCTACATGTCTAATATGCACTCTCCCTAATATGAGTAAATTAAGCAATTTTTCTTGCAAGTTGTCAATGTTTAAATTTTTTAAAAGTCCCACTGACCCAACCACCAACCTGTAACACTCAAAAATTACTAGCATTTCATTCCATTCCAAAAAAATTTTTTATGATTCTCAAATAAAATATTATTAAAATTATCTTTTTTTCTTAAGAGACAGTCTCACTCTGTCACCAGGCTACAGTGCAGTGACACAATCATAGCTCACTGCAGACTCGAACTCCTAGACTCAAGTGACTCTTCCCCCACAGCCTCTCTAGTAGCTGGTAATACAGACACATGCAACCAAACCTGGCTATTAAGCTATAGTTCTTGAATTCTATATTTAAAAGGAATTTAAGCAATCACTGAGCCTTATGGCTTTTCAAACATTTAATTTTGTTAGTCTTTAGGCATAGGTATTTAAACTATTTTTAGTTTAAAAATAGCTTTAAAATAGCCTTAAAAAAAAAAAACAAATTAAATAGAAATGCAGTCTCCCTATGTTGCCCAGGCTGATCTTGAATCCCTGGCTTCAAGCAATCCTCCTACCTCAGCTTCCCAAAGTGCTGGGATCACAGGCGTGAGCCACCACGCCCAGCCATAAGAAAAATCTTTACTACAAATTAAATTCTAATGCAAATTCCTCAACAAAGTAGAGCTGTTCAGTTGGGTGCGGTGGATCACACCTGTTATCCTAGCACTCTAGGAGGCCAAGGTGGGTGGATCACCTAAGGTCAGGAGATCCAGACCAGCCTGACCAACATGAAGAAACCCTATCTCTACTAAAAACACAAAATTAGCCAGGCATGGTGGTACATGCCTGTAATCCCAGCTAGTTGAGAGGCTAAAGCAGGAGAATCACTTGAACCCAGGAGGCGGAGGTTGCGGTGAGCTAAAACTACCTCATTGCACTCCAGCCTGGGCAACGAGAGTGAAACTCTGTATCAAAAAAACAAACAAACAAACCAAAGTACCTCTGTTCCACAGGTGAAACAGCAAAGGAGTCCAAGAACTAGACCCCTACATGCAACTCTACTTCCTTCCAACCATCCAAGGAGCCCACCTATTCCCTAAATCACAGTTTGGAGGCCATTTATCTAGTCCAATTTCCTCATAGTTCAGATGACTATGAGATAAAGTTACAACAGCTGAATTCCAAGTCTCCTGACTCCTTGTAAGCTGCACTTTGAACCCTTACCACTGAGCTTCTTTATCTATTTGTATTCAGATATGTTATGAAAGTTATCTTGTCAATGTGTTCTTCTTTTGCAGTCCTACAGATATCACAAGTTCTTTCCTGAACTGATGTTAGGCAAAGGAAAATTTATAAACCATATCCAGAAACTATAATTGGGTAATTTGAGAATGAATCTATGTTACAAAAGAGTTTGTGTCTTAAAGAAAAAATGCAAATGAAAAGCCTTTACATGGCCCACAATTTTTAATGTAAATAAATATACAGACTGTGACAGCATTAAACATATCATTTGGGGGCAGTCTCCCCAATCCTTTGCTAACTATTCAAAAATGGCAAAATGTAAGATACAGCACGTAAACTCTCACGTGCTTATAATAGCAGAACTTTGTCATAGCAATGAGATAAATATCTGGTTTGTAGGCTGAAGACCTCAATTTGAAAAAACTGTTAGGAGTTTCTTTCTGTCTCACACTGAGGAGATGAGCATTCCCTCATAGGTGTACAACCATGCAGGACAAAGTAAGGAAAACATTGGGATTAGCCTTCACAATCTTTAAACGGCTTTAAAGAATCATATGGAAGGTGAAAAAAAGGCTTCCCTATTCCCTTCAAAAAACAAAAGCAAAACCCTGTGTTAGTCATTTAGAGTAAATAGCCTCACAAGTTAAACATATTCTTACCAAAGAACATTGGAATATCCAACTTGTCTTCTCTGTCTACTTTTCTCTTAATCATAACAATATAGACAGCATAGAGCATGGCTCCAACAAGAGACCAAACGGAACCTGTAAAAATCAACATGATTTAAAGCAACCACTCATTAAGTCATTCAATATACACTTAAAATTCAATAATGTGTCAGATAAAATTGCAAGAATATACAAAAGTGAAAAGATATATAATGATATAAATCACCTTTAGGTTGGTATAAAAATATATAATGAAAAGGTATAGCCCACCCCACCCATGTCTTCTAGGAGTACAGGAAGGAGTTTAATATGTTAACAAATAAATGCGAAAGCATCCACCTCAATGATCTGACCAAAACATATACATAACAATACAACTCAAAAGTAACACTTTTTTTTTAATTCAAGTGCATGTTTTTATTTTACCCTATTCAAACAATCTTGACACCTGGCATTGTCCAACCAAACAAATGCTTCTTTCCATCACTAAGCTGTTGCTTGTATTGTCTTCCTTACCCCCATATATCATTCTTAGTATATACTCCACTACCATTCCCATCTTCAAGGCTCTGTTAAAGTTTTATTTCTTCCACAAAGCATCCTCTTTCTACTCTGCTGTATTTCTATCCTGTCTTCTGTTTTAGACAATACTTACTACTGTCAAGTATGATATTAGTCTAATTCCTAGTAGCTTCATTTTATAAATCTCATATTGTTCCAAATCAACAACTCCTTGAAAACTGCAAACACATAGTTTATATTTTTTAATGTTCCAAAATAGTTAACATAATACAGATCTCACACTACATGAATGATAAATACTGATTCTCTTTATTAACTCTCTCAAAAACATTTAAACCTTTCAAAACAGCTAAATAATGTTCTGCCAAGTGACCATACTCAATATTTATTCAATTACTTAAAAGATGAATGTTTTATTAAATTATTTTTATTTTCAAACTTTTTTAAAAGCTAAGGAAAAGCCTGTCAACAAAATCTTGCACACACATGCCCATAACAAATACATATATTATTTTATATACACAAAGCTGCTCTGGGTAAGAAAGAAGTGAGGAGGTTCAAAGCACAGCTTACTGGGCAGTAGCTAGGAATAGTTTAGAAAGCATTGTTCTACTCAATATACCTCAAGTATCTAAAGAAGTATCCAAAGAGAAATCATTAATCTAGGTTTATTTTTTATTTATTTTTATTTTTTATAGAGATGGAGTCTCATTATGCTGCCTAGACTGGTCTTGAACTCCTGGCCTCAAGTGATCCTCCCACTTTGCACTCCCAAAGCACTGGGATAACAGGCATGAGTCAACATGCTCAGCCCAGCTAGATTCTAATTACTTGTTTTTGTTAAGTCTAAGCAATGGATCAAATCTAAGTGTTCACCACAGCAATAACTGTTTCTGACAAGAATCAAGAATGAATGCCAACATTCATGGGTGAAGATATACCTGCAACAAGAAATTTGTATAGTCTCAAAGTATCCCCCATAAGATATTTACTACTTACAGTAGGTAAAATTAGTAACTTCACACTGGAGTAAGGTAGTTAATTTTAACCAATATCACCTTCATTATATTCTTATCCAAAATGCACAACTTTAACCAAAGAAAATATTGGACAAATGCAAAGTGACGAACATTCTACAAACCAACTAGGTGGTACCCTACAAAAGTGTCAAGATCATAAAAGACAAGAAGACTTAGGAACAGTTCTGCATTTAAAGGAAACATGACAATTAAATGCAATAAGTGATCCTAGATCAGAAAAAAGAACATTAGTGGAAAAAAAATGGCAAAATTAGAAATAGCTTTTTTATAACTGTACAATAGTTATGTAAGTTGATAACATATGAAAAATCTGAGTGAAGGCTATGAGAATTCACTAAACTATTTATGAAAAATTTTTTACATTATTTCCAAAGGAAAAGTTTTAAAAAAAACACGCTGCTAATGCCTACCCTTTGTGCATGTATCTGTGCACATGAGCATGCACATTTACCTTTCTTGTATACTCTAACAAAAAACTTTCTTGAATATTCTAACAGAGAGAATGCAGAGTCATGTACTTACCTATTGTATCTCTTCCAGCAGATTTTTCAGACCCTGACAGGTTTACCAGAACAACACCTCCAATGCTATGAGAATAACAGTCATTAATGAAGAGCAAACATAATGAATTCTGAAAAGGCTAATCATAAAGATAAAAATTATTTATAAGTGATCAAGACTAATCTCAACTTTGGGTAAAACTACTGTCAAATAATTTAGTAATTTCATTAATAATATCTAACAATATTATCAATATAATATAGTGTTATATTTGTATTAACTCATTTAATCCTCACAAAATGTACAATATTATACCTTATAAGGAAGTAATGCTACTGCCATTCCCATTTTACATGTGAAAACTAATACACAAATAGGTAAGGTAACTTGATCAAGATCACATAGCTGAGACTGAAATACAGTCAGTTTTACTCGAGTCCAGTGCTCTTATGTGCTATGCTATCCACTGTCTTTCAATTAGGAACGAATTAACTAACTTGTCATCCCTTTCCAATCTTTCTTTTGGATTATACAAATATATCAAACCCATATAAATCCAGCAATGGTACTACTCTTGCTTATTGGTAAAATCTAAATTAACAGTAAAACTATCCTTATGTGCTTAAACAACTTCACTAATCTCATGATTTTAGTGGATGAAAATAAGAGTGAATTAAGGATGTAAAGATATAAGAGGTCATTCATAAACTCAATTGTTATTTGCTGGGCATCTAATATGAGCAAATCATGGGGTTACAGAAGTGAACAAGATAGATGTGGTTCCTGTCCTCAGGGAACTTACATTGTCTTTATATTTCTATGAATCTTATAAATTGTCACAAGTTTTCAAGTAGATGAAATATTGCTAATTAAAAAAAAAAAAAATTAGCCGAATTCTCTCACCCTGATCAGAAAGACCAGGGTGGCAGTGGGAGAGGAATATGAAAGAAAATATTTTTTCCCTTATGGAAAGATGTCATCACAACTTAAATGTAGTCCTTACATTAAATATTCGTACCTTTCAATTAAAGCATCACAATTTTCTGTAATAATCATTGTTCACATTCAGATTCAGCTATTATTTACTGAGTATCCACAATATATTAGAAATCAGGAATTTTGTTTCCATTTAGATGATGAATTATGATAATGGCTAAATATGGTGAGCACCTGCTGTTTTATATCAGACATTGTTCCAAGCACTTTAGAAGTTCTACTCATTTAATCCTCATAATAATCCTATGAGAGAAATCCTATTATTTGCAATATACAGGCGAGAAAATTGGCACAGAAGCGTAAGGAACTTGCCCAAGATCTCAAAACTAGTAATGACAGAGATGGGATTGGATTCCAAGTTGTTTGGCTTGAGGCCACACTCTTGTCTCCCAACTGATGAAATGAGATTTCTTCGCTTAGATTTCCTTCAAGATTGTTGCTATGTAAAATTCTTTTTATATCCTCAGAAACTGAATCTCTTAGTAAAATGCCAATTCAAAACAAAGTATTAAACAATGTTTAATACATAAGTCTTAAGAACATATACAAAAAATTTCTAAGTAACACTTTCTTTTAAAAAAAAAGCTAAGGTAGTAAATATTTAGGTTTGTGGGCCACATTGCTGCAATTCAACTCTGTCTCTGTAATGCTAAAATGGCCATAGACAATTTGCAAATAAATGAGAGTGGCTGTGTTCCAATAAAATTTTATTTACAAAAACCAGCAGCTGACCCAACAGTTTGCCAACCTCTGTTCTAGATCTACTTTAATGAGGAGTAATGCACTCTGTCAAAATACTTGCAAGTTTAATATTTTATATCCACTTCCTTCTTTATAAAGTCTTTATTAAAATACCATGAAGAAAAGTTATAAATTAGCACATATTTTAAATAAAGTTAAAAAAAAAAAAAACCTTATTTACTTCTCCAGTGCAAATATATTTCCCTAATGAAAAAATTTGCTTGACTTAAAACATTAGCCAACCATGTAAAAGAATAAATCCTTAGTGGCCATAAAGTCAAAAGGATAAATTAGTTGGACCAACCAGCTGCCCATTGGAGCAACCATGGTTAATTTACCCTTATATCTAAAAAAGAATAACATATAAGAATAAGAGCTACGAGTCTTACATGATTGCCCAGTACCAGCCTCTGATAGACACTTCATAGCTATTACCTCTAAACTTTAAAACAAGACTCCAAGGAATAATAGACAATATTATTTTCTCAACTAGGAAACCTCTCAGAGTTTAAGAAAACTGCCCAAGGACAAACAGCAGAGCGCTTATTCGATCCCAGCTTTGATAACCAAGAAACACTACTCTCCATTAAATCATTCTGCTACCTTCTCTGATTTTCTTTCATAAAAATAACAGTTTTATTAAACCAACACATCTTTTTTGAGTACTGTCTATGGGCAAAGCCCCAAGCTAGATCTTTGATGAGACAAATATAAAACAAGGCTTTGACCTTCAAGGGTTTACAATCCAGTAGAAAAGACAACACAAACATACACAAAGTTAAATAAAAATAAAATATTAAAGTATAGTTATCAGCGACACTGACATGCATTAGTGCAAAACTGCCAAATGAATTACACAGAAAACAACTGAAACATCATCTGAGGCTCAGACAATTAGAGAAAACTGAATGTTAGCTTTCTAAGAAAAGTAGAAAAAGGAAAAATAAAAATCAAAACAAAAAGGGGAACTTGCCTTAAGAAAAAGAAATAGAAACTTGGATGATTATGAGGATTAAGCTGCCACATTATGTGTGAATGTCAGTACAATACTTGGTGAGTCTACAGACACATGAATGGGAACCAAAGCAGCCTTGGAGTTTTCCCTCTGGTTACCCTACTCAAGAAGGTTTAGAAACCTAGTGCAGGAAGTGACAGGGCTGAGTAGCATCATGTCCATTTAAAGCTTTCTTTTATCCACATCTTTCTTTGCTCTTATAAGCTATCCTGGTACCACTGTCAGAAATTGTAACATTGTTTTTTAAGCAGAGTAAACTAGCTATCACACTATATTCTTACCTTAAAATTACAGCTAATAGTTTAGAAAGGGTAAATCTATCTCCACTGTTACTTGGAAATACTGCAGCAAGGATTAAGGTAAAAAGTCCTATGAGGAGAAAAGAATTTAATAATGGTACATGAGTTTAAATACTGTCAACATTTTTACTACCTATTTCATGTTTAAATAAGTAAAGTATATGCCTAACTTTTAAATTATTTTTTTCCATTCTTAACTAAGAAAATGACTGCAGTTAAATAATGACTGGAATGAAATGTTCAACATTCATGCATAAAATAGCCTCCAAACTAAACCATGTTTATTTCAACAGTACAGATCAAGTACAGTCCTATTTATTTTAAACTAATAGGAAACTTAAATCTTGTTCAGAGTAACATTCTGACCTCATCATAATCAAGCTATGTTCTAAAGTTATTTTTATAGCTTCAAAAATACTTTTGTCTTCCAGATTTGAAAGGTGATTCAATCTTAAAATGCCTATCATAGGACAAATTATAGTTCTGAAATAAGCGATTACATTTTAGCCAAAGGGTCTAGAAAAAGATCTCTGGAAAGGATGTGTGAAGGGAAAGGCAACTACAAAGAGCCAGCCTATAAAACTGTAATATATTGTTATATTAAAAATACTGTAAAGTATTTGAAGGAACATAAATAGCACAGGCTAAGGTATGAAATTACAGTCATGCTTAACGACAGGGATAAATACAGTGAAAATGTGTGTTGTTAGGCAGTGTCGTCCTTGTGTGACCATCATAGAGCATACTTACACAAACCTAAATGGTATAGCCTACTACACAGCTAGGCTGTATGCTATAGCCTATTGCTCACAGGCTACAACTTGTATAGCCTGTTACTGTATTGAATACTCTAGGCAACTGTAACACAATGGTAAGTATTTGTGTATCCAAACATATCTAAACATAGAAAAGGTGCAGTAAAAATACAGTATTATAATCTTATGGGACCATCATTGTATATGCAGTCTGTTGTTGACTGAAACATCATATGCGGCACCTGACTGTATACAGATTCAAAGGCAATTATAATAGACGAATACATATTAGAACTAATGTAAGAAGCTATAACAAGATAAAAATGTTATATATGTACACACGTATATACTAGTAATATATAATTTATAATGAATAACATTAATAAAAATAATAAGATTTTTAAAGACAAATTTCTTACCAGAAGTTGAAGATAAAATATTAACTATAGCAACTTGTGTGTCTGAAAGTGCTTCTTGATATGACAAATTTGCCAAAAACCACTGAAGAAAAAGAAAACCACAGTGAACCCTAATGAAAGACATGTTTACATCCATCATTACAATTCAGAGTTCCCTTTTTTGTTCTCCTCCTAAATACTGTTCTCACAAGATGTTTTAAAAGCTGCTTTGTATTGAAAAAAATCACAGGCTCCCAAAAAAGATAAATGTTTATAATCATCAGACCTAAGATCCTGCTACCTAATTTCCCTTAAAAATTAACAATAGTTGGCTAACAATTAGCATTCAGGTTTTTTTTTTTTTTTAATGAGGGTAAAATCAAGTATCAAATCAATTTTAAAATTTGCTTTACCTAGGCTAGGCATAGTGGCTCATGCCTGTAATCCCAGCACTTTGGGAGGCTGAGGTGGGTGGATTGCTTGAGCACAGAAAGACCAGCCTGGACAACATAGAAAAATCCCATTCCTACAAAAAAAAAAAAAAAAAAATACAAAAAATAGCCAGGTGTGGTAGTGCAAACCTGTACTCCCAGCTACTTGGGAGACTGAGGTGGGAGAATTATTGAGCCTGGGAGGTTGAGGCTCCATGACTGCCTCACTGCACTTCAGCCTGGGTGACAGAGAGACCATGTCTCCAAAAAAAAAAAAAAAAATTGCTTTATCTAAGTACTGCTGATATTATTCTGTTATCTAAATTATATTTAAATTTGGGAAAATTCTCCAACATTAGAATATGTACAGATGAATACAGCATAATGAGAAATCTATTAAACCAGATGATGTGCATGGATATGGATGAACCTTGCTGGCTAGCTGGATTGAAAAATAAAAGGCTATATTCACTTTGGAAATTTAGAAATGTCCTCAAATTTTATTAATGTCCTAAAAAAATTAATGCCCAAAAAATTGTTAATTTACTGTTTAATTGTGATTGCTTTTCTGAAACTCAGTTTAGAAACACAACCCAAAGAGTTTTCATAAGTTTGGATACAGTGAAGGAAGTTTTCCAGCTATCAGGACTCTTTAAAAAGTAATTCTTCTCTTCCACTTATCTAGGTTAGGATGGAGAATAAGAAATAAGACTTAATTTGATAAAGCCTGGCAGGATGTGTATGTCCAAAGTAAATTAATTTTCACTGATAATTCATCCATTTTTTGTAGATAACACCTTTTAACTATCTGAAACAACACTACTATGAATATTCTAATTCTAGTACATGCCTGCCACCTGGTGTATAAGTACATGAGTGTCACTAAAGCATATACTCAAGAGATGGATTGCTGGGTCAAGCAAAGTAAACTAACTATTAGCCTAATTGTTTTCGGTGTCTCTGTTACTTAACACTGGTTGACTCAAAGCGTTATCCCACTGAATGACTTATCTCTATTAAGAGAGGGGCAACTCTTGGTCTCTCTCAGAGCTTGTGGCTAAGTGGTGTTACACTAGTATTTACATTGCAAAGAAGCAGTAGAGACATATGATTGTTGAACACTATGAGAAGGCAGCAAGTGGTTAACAGCCTAGTAGTCTTCATTCAGTGCATACTGTACTCAAGGCTAATGCCAGAATGAAACTGTAGCAATGTGGTCCTGATTCCATCTGCAATCCTTTGATTTCCTAGATAACTACATTTGCCTATCTAGGTAAAATGAAGTAACAACTGGTGAGATGGGTAATATCAAACATATATGGCAAGAGAACCCACAATCTGCCTGCTGGTGAAGTGCTAGAAAAGAAGCAAATTCTGCCCTTAATCTTATCTGTCAGAGATTTTCTCCATGAACAGATAATGCTCACAGAGTGACTAGCTTTCTTGACCCACTTCTCTATTTTAATACTTAAATATTATGCTCATTTTCCAAACAACCTCACGGGTCCATGCTAATACAAGGTAAAGAAATAAAAACAGATCACTTGGATAAGAAGCAGTCAAAGATCATATGAATTCTTCATTAGCTGTGAACTCTTTCCAGAATGACCTTCTCATTCTTTACCTCTCCCCAAACTCCATTCTCTGGCTCTTGTTTCCATAGCACCCTCATCATAAAAGAGGACCCATCTCAACCATGCTCCAATAAAAATTATCCATACATCTCCCTTCATTATTTCAGAGTTGAAGACAACCATTTATGAATAATTATAACAAATAATTAACATATTTCATAATTTCAAGAGTAGTAATACATTTTTAAGTTGTCATAAAATGTTAATATTTGACAAAAATTATATATGTTCAAGGTATATAACATGATTTAACATACACATAACATTGTCTACTGATTACCACAGTCAAATTAATTAGCACATCCATCATCACCCATAGTTACCATTTTTTGTGTGTATGTGATGAACACATTTAAAAATCTGCTCTTATTAAATGTAAAGAATATAGTACTATTATCTGAAATCTCCATATATATTAGTCCCCAGAACTTATTCATCTCATAATTGAAACTATGTACTCTTGACTAACACTTCCCCATTTCCCTAGCATTTTACCCTCTGGCAACCACCATTCTACTCTTTGCTCCTATTTTAGATTCTACATATATACGTGAAATCATATTTGCAAGTATTTGTCTTTCTATGCCTGGTTTATTTCATTTAGCATAATGTCTTCCAGGTTTATCCATGTTGTTGCAAATGGCAGGATTTCCTTCTTTTACAGCTGAATATTACATTATATTCCGCCATAAAAATGTACTATATATATTCATCCATTGATACACACTCAGGTTGTCCCCATATCTTGTCTATTGTGAATACTATAAAATAAACATGGAGGTCCAGACACCTCTTTGAGATACTGACTTCATTTACTTTGGATATATAGCAGGAGATATTCTTGAGAAAGCCAGTATCACCTAAATTATATTTTACAGAAAAAAAATAAACCTAATAAGACAAGATATTCAGAGAAGACTGGCAAATACAGTAATCTTTAACTCCTTTTGATCTACACTGTCCAATATATTAGACACTAGCCACACATGTCTACTGAGCAATTGAAATTGGCTGGTCTGAACTGAAATGTGCTTTAAGTATAATACATACTGGATTTAGAAGATTTTAGTACAAAAAAAGAATGTAAAAGAGAAATGTATTATGTAAATTGTTATATAATAATAACAGTCTTTATAGCAGATTTAAAGATACATGTGAATAGCCTTTTCAAGATTTTTTGAAATTATAATAAAACATATATAAAATATACCATTTTGATCAAGTGTACAGTTAGTGGCATAAAGTACATTCACATTATTACATAATTTATTGATGAATAAAAATTATTCATCAATAATTTTTATATCAACATGTTGAAATATTTTTACATACAGTGGGTTAAATACAACTATAATATTGAAATTCATATCATCTGTTTCTTCTTCCTTTTTTAAATGCTTCTACTAGATAATTTAAAACTATATTTGTGGCCTGCATTTGAGGCTTATGTTATGTGTCTACTGAACAGCACTGCTCTTAACCTTATCTAAAGCTTATCATTCTATTAAGCTACATTTCCAAAAAGCTAATTTTCTCTCAGTATCTGCAGGGAATTGGGTCCAGGACCCAAACTCCAAAGGTATCAAACTCCAAAGATGCTTAAGTCCCTTATATAAAATGGCACAGCATTTGCATACAACCTATCCACATCCTTCCATATACTTTAAATCATCTCCAGATTACTTGAACCTAAGACAATGTAAATAGTTGTTATGCTATTGTTTTTTAATCTCTATTATTTTTATTATTGTATTGCTGTTCTTCTATTTTTTCACCTTCATTATTTTTGATCTGTAGTTGTTTGGATCCAAGGAGGCAGAACTCAAGGATTTGGAGGGCCAACTGGTATCTGGACTGTATTCTTCTGACTTCCCAAAGGAATGCCTTTACTTTAATGATAACTTGATTAATATATTCTGCTAGGTAAACAGCAAGAAAATCTTTAGGACTTAATATGATAATTATATATGTAATAAAAATAAAGTCTCAAATATTCATGTTATTTTATTATGTGGGATCTCTGTTTGCTTGTTTTAAATGAGTGTAAGGCAGGACTAAAATGCATTAATTACATGCTACCCAGTTTTCAAAGGAAATGTGTAATAAAAGCATCTATAGTTGACCCTTGAACAACATAGGATTAGGGGACCAACCTTCATGCAGTAAAAAGTCTGCTATAACTTTTGACTCCCTCAAAATGTAACTACTAATAGCCTAATGGTGACTGGAAACTCAATCAATAATGTAAGTAATGATTAACATACATTTTGTATGTTATATGTATAGTATACTGTATGCTTATAACAAAGTAAGCTAGAGAAAAGAAATGCTATTAATGAAATCATAAGAATATATTTACTACATGGAAATGAATCATCATATAAAGGTCTTCATCCTCGTCAACTTCATGTTGAGTAAGTAGGCTGAGGAAGAGAAAGGATTGGTCTTGCTGTTTTAGGGATGGCAGAGATAGATGAAAATCTGTGTGTAAGCATTCCTGCACAATATAGACCCATGTTGTTCAAGGACCAACTATATATGGTAAATATTAAAACAAGAGTAAAAAGATAAGAGCCAGATTAGGCTGCGCGCAGTGGCTCACACCTGTAATCCCAGCACTTTAGGAGGCTCAGGTGGGCAGATCATGAGGGCAGAAGTTTGAGACCAGCTTGGCCAACATGGTAAAACCCCATCTCTACTAAAGATACAAAAAATTAGCCAGGCATGGTGGTGCGCGCCTGTAATCCCAGCTCCTTGGGAGGCTAAGGCAGGATAATCGCTTGAACCCGGGAGGCGGAGGATGCAGTGAGGTGAAATTGCTCCATCACACTCCAGCCTGGGCAATAGGGTGAGACTCCACCTCAAAAAAAAAAAAAAAAAAAAACAAATATTAGCTGGAAATGGTGGCATACGTCTATAGTCCCACCTAATCAGGAGGGCTAAGGCATGAGATTAGCTTGAACTTAGGAGGTGGAGGTTACAGTAAGCCAAGATTGCACCACTGCACACTGCACTCCAGACTGGGCAACACAGCAAGACTCAGTCTTTAAAAAAAAAAAAAAAAAAAAAAAAAAAAAAAAAAAGAGCCAGATTAAAAAGGTAATGGAGTGGGAGTTGGCTGTGGAACATGATGATTATATCAGAAACTTCAGTTTAAAGGAAGAAAGCTACTTTGGGTGAGCACACAGCTCATCTGTAGGCAAAAAGGCAGGAAGGCAATAAGGAAAACCTGAGTTACACAGCTTATTGTCTATTAAAAGGAATTATCTCCCTTTCTTGGAAAAAGCAAACTTTTTCCTAACTTAAAACTTTGAGAGAAATGCATTATGTAAATTGCTCTATAATAACACTAGTCATTCTAGCAGATTTAAAAATAGGTGCAGATAATAGCCTTTTTAAGAATTATTTTTTGAAATTATAGTAAAACATACATAAAATATGCCATTTTCACCATTTTTAAGTGTACAGTTAGTGGCATAAAGTACATTCACATTGTTGTGCGACCATCACCCCATCCATCCACAGTATTTTTTCATCTTATAAAATTGAAACTATCTGTTAGCTCTCTGCTTTCACAATGTATTTTAAGTTGATATTTTTTAAAGACAATTTATGGTCAAAGTGACCCAAGCGTCTATTGACACAAGAATGAATAAACAAAAGATGGTCTATCTGTACAATGAAATATTATTCTGCTTTCAAAAGAAAGGAAATTCTGACACATGTTACAACCCGGATGAACCCGGAGGACATTATGCTAAGTGAAATAAATCAGTCTCAAAAAGACAAATGCTATATGATTCCATTCGACATGGGGTACTTATGAGTAGTCAAATCCATCTAAATAGAAATAGAATAGTGGTGACCAGGGGTTCGGGGAGGCAGGAATGAGGAGTTAAAGTTTAATGAATAGTTTCAGTTTTTTTTTTTTTTTTTTTTTTTTTGAGACAGAGTTTCACTCTTGTTACCCAGGCTGGAGTGCAATGGCGCGATCTCGGCTCACCGCAACCTCCGCCTCCCAGGTTCAGGCAATTCTCCTGCCTCAGCCTCCCAAGCAGCTGGGACTACAGGCACATGCCACCATGCCCAGCTAATTTTTTGTGTTTTTAGTAGAGACGGGGTTTCACCATGTTGACCAGGATGGTCTCGATCTCTTGACCTCGTGATCCACCCGCCTCGGCCTCCCAAAGTGCTGGGATTACAGGCTTGAGCCACCGCGCCCGGCCAGTTTCAGTTTTACAAGATGAAAAAATTCTGTGGACGGATGGGGTGACGGTTGCACAACAACGTCAATGTAATTTATGCCACTAACTGTACACTTAAAAATGATCAGGGCCAGGTGTGGTGACTTATGCCTGTAATCCCAACACTTTAGAAGGCTGAGGCGGGGCGGGGGGATCATCTGAGGTCGTGAGTTCGATACCAGCCTGACCAACATGAAGAAACCCTGTCTCTACTAAAAATACAAAATTAGCCGGGTGAGGTGGTGGATGCCTGTAATCCCAGCTGCTCAGGAGGCTGAGGCAGGAGAATTGCCTGCTGGGAGGTAGAGGTTGTGGTAAGCCAAGATCATGCCATTGCATTCCAGCCTGGACAACAAGAGCAAAACTCTATCTTGGAAAAAAAGAAAAGGTCAAAATTGTATATTTTACGTATATTTTATTATAGTTTCATAAAAGAATTCTTAAAAAGGCTATTATCTGCACATATCTTTAAATCTGCTATAAAGAATAGTGTTATTAATAGAGCCAGGGAATGGAGAAAAACAAGTTATTCAACAATGAGTATGAAAGGCAAAATCATAAAGTTAAAATTTTATAATCAGGCTAATAACATTGACATTAGCATTGCACTATTTAGTGTTATAAGATGCCCGATATACATTTGAATCTTAAAGGCTCATATTTAAAAACCTTTCATTAGGCTACTTCAAATGATGTGTACATAAAATAGCATGGAAGTTCATTTTTTAAATTCTGCATGTTAGAGTTCTCATTAACTCTGATAAGTCTCTAATCCTAACTTAGCCCAAAATAACAATACTTTATCATTATTCTGTGTGAAATCTTAAGCACATTTTTCAGTTTCTATATAAATATGACAACCAGAAATTCTATAGAAATATACTGAGTACTTGATAATATAATACTTAACCTCATTTATATGAATATAAAACTGCAAAACACTTATTTGAAAAAAAAAATCAATGCACAGTAAACTCTTATCTGAATATTTACTAGCCTTTGTGTGTGTGTATATGTGCGTGTGTGTATATATATACATATATGTATACCAGTGTAAAATAACTCAATTCATAATCCTGACCACAAGGCAATGTTAAATTCTGAAGAACTTACCAAATTGTGTGTGTTCATAAGTTTGTGTATCTATATAAATAGCTGAAGTGTTATAGGACTTATTGAATTCTAACTCTGAGGTATATCAAGCACTTACTAATTTGATACCCTAATTTCCTACTGGTATTGAATCCCAGAGTTAAAAGTTATGATTAAACAACCTAATTGTCTCACATTTCAATCCGATATTGTTGATATGTATACTGTCTTAAAATTCAAGTTTCAAACATCATATGCAAACATATCATAAAAAGACCTACCACAAAGCAAAAAAAAAAGCTAATTTTCGCTACTTGAGTTGCAGTAAGTTTCCCCACAGTTTTCAGTATGGATTCTTGTTCTTTCACAGGATATGACATGCGAGACAACTTTGCTTCCAATGCATGGCTTGATGGAAGCTGTCGAATCTCCATGATATTACTGAACCTCACACGAGACTTTTTGGGAGCTTAAAAGGAAAAGTATAATACAAAATAATTAAATGACTCCTCTCCAACAAAAGTTGCAAGTTTTAATTTACTGATAAATGCATAAGTTCATCTATGATCAGAGTAAGACCAGTCAAAGTAAACCACAGGTATATCATTACCTGAGGCAGCTTTGTTCACTTAAGAGAGTTAGCAGAAAAAATGTTTTCATCTACAAAAATGTTGTAAAAGGTTTAAAATGAGACTGCTATTCAAACAAGGTTTCTGCAATTATGTACTGTATATACACAACTGCCTATTTCAGGATTTTAGTATGATTATTATTTTAGTATTTCTAGTAAAACTTTATTTGGATTTTTTCTTGTGCATATCTAATTTATGAGAATTAGTTTCCTGGGCAAGCATGCAGAACAATTCTCTATAGGTCCATTCCTTGCAAAGGAAATTATGGATAAATACTGCACATTACGTTAAAGGTGGCATTCTTTAGTAAATTCACAGAACCGGCAAAACTCTTATAATTTGCTGTTAGGGTCATTGAGGGCATAAATAAGAGGATATTATTTGTTTTTTAAAAAAAGTATACACACACACACACATATGCATATACATACACATGTGTGTACATATATATAATGAAACCAGAGATTTCTCATATTTAAAAGAAAAAGCATAATACAAAATAATTAAATGATTCCTCTCCAACAAAAGTCACAAGTTTTAATTTACTGACAAATGTATAAGTTCACCTATGATCAGAGTAAGACAAAGTAAACCAAAGGTATATCAGTTGAAATAATACAAAAATGATTGTACTATATTAGATTCACAAACCAGTCAAACTTCCAGAAGACTTGTAGGCTGAGCCAACACCATATGGAGCAGAAGAACTACAGGGTGACTTCATTTAACCCACATCATCACTAAGTTTTGAGGCGGCTTGAATAAAGCTAAACTTTCTACCCATTTCCAAGTTATGGAATTCTAAGTTTTGCTTACTTTTTTCAGTATCAATGTTTGTGCTCTCAGGTTTTTCACTTGGAAGGTCATGAAATTTCACAGGAACATATAGAGGTTCACTCTGGAATGTAATAGAAAAAATGTAAACAACAAATATAAAAGCTAATAGACTGGTTAAAATTTAAACGGATGATACATAGACACAAATACCATCTAAAACGTGGTTGTTCACCACCATGCTTAGAGAGCATAACTTTCCCAAAATGCATTTTCAAGACTTAAGAAAGGAAACTCAACAGATCTAAACAGGTACAATGACAGAAAAGAATCAGTTTACAGTTTGGAAATGTAATAAAACAGTATTGTATATTACGATATTACATATTTAAATGTCATAAAAACATTCTCTCTCTCTTAGCTAACAGATACTATCTCAGCTAACAGATTATCTCTCATTCCTTTTCATTCATTTAACAAACACTGAGCTCCTACTATGTCAGACACTGTTCTAAGTCCTGGGAATGTAAGAGTGAATAAAAGCAGTCTCTTCCTCAGTGATCATGCAGTCTAATGGGGAAGACAGACAACAAACTGATAATCAGGTATATATTTGTATTTATATTTACCAAATTATTTCCTCTTATTGTGTAAAATTCAATAAAAAACTAAAATTCTTGAAGACCTTTACACAAAATAGCTACTACTTATCAATTCTTACTATGTATTGAGTACCAAATCTAGATCAGTTAAGTATATATTTCTCACTAGCCCTCACAAAAATTTTATAGAATATGGCCAATGCAGTGGTTCATGCCTGTAATCCCAGCACTCTGGGAGGCTGAGATGGGCACATCACTTGAGGTCGGGAGTTCAAGACCAGCCTGGCCAACATGGTGAAAACCCCTCTCTACTAAAATACAAAAATTAGCTGAGTGTAGTGGTGGGTGCCTGTAACCCCAGCTACTCAGAAGGCTGAGGCAGGAAAATCGCTTGAATCTAGGAGATGGAGGTTGCAGTGAGCTGAGATCATGCCACTGCACTCTAGCCTGGGTGACAGAACAAGACTCCATCTCAAAATAATAATAATAATAGTAATAATAATAATAATAATTTTATAGAACAAAGCTGAGACATAAAGTAACCAAGTATAGACAAAAGAATTAAAGCCAGGTTTGTCTAGGCTACTCCAAGCAGTTATAAATTCCTCAACTGTTTTTGCAAATGTTCTTCAGATGATCTGTATTTAAGGTACATATCTCCAAATAGGCTAATTCTTCAAAATTAACAGAACTTTTTTTATGTCTTTATCTTTTAACTCATGGTATAGAACTCTGCCAATAAAAAAAAATATTCAGTAAATGAAGGGACAATAGGTCTAGAAAGAGACATATCTCTTTGTTATACCGAACTTTTCATTATAGCATCTGGCCTAGAGCAATTTGACATATCCGTCTTACAGAGAATAGCAATAATTAGTACAAGAGTAGTCAGAAAAACAGGCTGCCACCTCAACTGTGCCTTCTGTACTGATAGAGACAAATGATATTTTACTGATGCTTAAGATACTGGGGGAAAAAAAATTCTTCAGAGTACCTAGTAACCTACTCTGCATGTCATTGCAGTTCTAAAAAACAGAGAGACAAACAAAAAAACTCTACTGTGAATAAGGTCATGAAGCCAGTGCTTCACAAATTGGTATTAATTTTAGAGTAACTAAAACTTTTGTCAGATAAAATGTTTGGAAAGAAAACAAGTATCATTAAAAATATATTTTAAAGAGATGCCAGCCTGAGCACATAGCAAGACCATGTATCTAAAAAAATAATAAAAAATTAGTGGTGGAGTATGCTTGTATTCAGGAGGCTGAGACAAGAGGATCACTTAAGCTCAGTAATTCAAAGTTACAATGAGCCATAACCGTGCCGCTGTACTCAACCCCAGATAATACAGCAAGATCCTGTCTCTAGAAAGAAATCTAAAAATAAGAGATGCCTGAGTTATCATCTTAAAAAGCCAGATTTTTATATACTACCTCTCCAACTAGATGATAAACACTTAAAATAAGTGACTATGTCATTACTTGATTTATTACCTGTCCCCTTGCAAATATGCACACACTCACACACTATAACAAAGCTATATTTTCAGAGCCTATTTAACACATATTTGTCACTATAAAAAATTTGTGGAATAAACAAATGAATAATTTGCCTATATACCCTCAGTGTCAAAAATATCTGTTTCTAAATTATAATAATCATGCATGAAGTGAAAAAGCTGACTAGTAACAAAGGATTGTCTTTTACTATTTTCACTCCTTAACCAGTTTCCCCTTCCCCTCTCTCTTCAGAGGTAGCTAAATTGTTTACCTCTAGGCCCCAGGTATCCCTAAAGAGAAAAAAAGTACCAAATTACAGTCCGCACGACAGGCACTCAATACTGAGCTATATCTATGTTGTAATATAGCTTTGCTGCCACCAGAACTGTTTCAGTTCTTCCTACCATCGCTCAGCTCCACCTCTCCATTCCTGATAAGAAAAGAAACACTTACCAAAGAACTATTCATAGTTGTATCTGTCGTGCAAGCAGCAAAGTAACCTTCAGCATCTGCAAACTAAATACAGATAACAAGATATAAAATTCAATTAAACTTACATTATACTGTAGGGCTAGTCAGACATGACTCAAAGAAATAGAAGCAAAAATCCAGAATCAACCTATAAGAGGATAACTGTTACTACTACTAATAGCAGCTAATGCCACATATTCACCATTGCTACGTAGGTATTATTTTCATTTTATTAAGAATTTGAGGGTGAGAGATTTTTAATCCTGACAGTCAGGATTAAAAAGTTAGTCTAACACAAAAGCATGCGCTTTTCATAACATGTTTATAACATTTCAGATAAGTAGGGAAAAGAGGGATGGGTTAATTAAAAAGTCAAGTAACAGGCGAAAGCTGGTTGATCATTTGAGGTCAGGAGTTCAAGACTAGCCTGACCAACATGGTGAAACCCTGTCTCTACTAAAAATACAAAAAAATTAGCTGAGCATATTGGCAAGCACCTGTAATCTCAGCTACTTGGGAGGCTGAGACAGGAGAATCGCTTGAACTCTAAAGGTGGCGATTGCAGGGAGCCAAGATCGTGCCACTATACTCCAGCCTGGGCAACAGAGTGAGACTCCATCTTAAAAAAAAAAGGGGGGGGGGGGGGGAAGTAACTTCTCAGTATTATTATGAAATTAGTTTTGACCTCAAAAACCCCTGAACGAGACTGAGCACAGTGGCTCATGCCTGTAATCCCAGCACTTTGGGAGGCTGAGGTAGGCAGATCAGTTGAGGTCAGGAATTTGAGAGCAGCCTGGCCAACATGGTGAAACCTCATCTCTACTAAAAAACACAAAAATCAGCTGGGCATGGTGGCACACACCTATAATCTCAGCTACTCGGGAGGCTGAGGCAGGAGAATCACTTGAACCAGGAAGCGGAGGTTGCAGTAAGCACAGATCATGCCACTCCACTCCAGCCTGAGTCACAGAGCGAGATTCCATCTCAATCCATCTCAAAAAAAGAAAAAAAAAACCCTGAATGATTTCAAGGCCTGGACCACACTTTGAGAATCACTGTGCTAATGCTAGATAAGTAGGATTTCATTTCATATCCACAGCTAGTCTATCATTATCTCTGCTGAAAGTCTGAAGAGGTTAAATAACTTGTCCAAGGTCAAAACTTGGCAAGTGATAGAAAAGATTCAAACACTAGAGCCCATGCTATAAAAGAACCCCAACAAATCAATAACAAAAAGGCAGTCAATGTAGAGAAATAAGACATAGATAACACACAGGAGCTCTACTTTCCAAAAAAAATAGACAAAAGTAAACACAAACAGGTACATTAAACAAGATACCACTGTTTACCTTGTCAGGTTGGCAAATGTTGGGATTTTGGTAAAGGTTCAATCATGAGACTTAATGAGTGTTTAATACGTGTTTAATTATATACTGTTAACAAAGATAGGTATTAATGCAACCATTACAGACTGTAATTTAGCAATAAGAATTAAAAGCTTTAAAAATGACATTACTTGGCCGGGTGCGGTGGCTCATGCCTTTAATCCCAGTACTTTGGGAGGCCAAGGCAGGTGGATTGCTTGAGGTCAGGAGTTCAAAACCAGCCTGACCAACATGGCGAAACCCTGTCTCTACTAAAAATACAAAAATGAGTCAGGCATGGTGGCGGATGCCTGTAATCCAAGCTGCTCAGGGGGCTGATTCACTTGAATCCAAGAGGCAGAGGCTGCAGTGAGCTAAGATTGCACGACTGCACTCCAGCCTAAGCAAGAGGGTGAGACTCTGTCTCAACAACAACAAAATGAATGAAGTACAAATATACTACAACATGGATAAACCCTGAAAACAAACAATTCCATTTTGTTTTTATTTTATTTTTTTGAGACAGTCTCAGTCTGTCACTCAGACTGGAGTGCAACGGCTCCATCTCAGCTGTCTGCAACCTTCGCCTCCCAGCTTCAAGCAATTCCCATGCCTCAGCCTCCCAAGTAGCTGAGATTACAGGAGTGCACCACCATGTCTGGCTAATTTTTTGTTATTTTTAGTACAGACAGGGTTTCACCATGTTAGCCAGGCTGGTCTTGAACTCCTGGCCTCAAGTGATCCATCTGCCTCAGCTTCCTAAAGTGCTGGAATAATAGGCATGAACCACTCCATCAGGCCCAATTACATTTTTGTAAAAAATAAAAAATACACACATGAAAAGAATGGCAGGATATATGTCAAAATATCATCAGTGGTTCTTCCTTGAATGGTAGAATTTATTTTCCTCTTTTTGTTCTTCGGTAATTTCTAAATTTTCAACACTATACCTATGCTAATACACATATAATTTATTCCCACATGTGATACAATGTATATGTAATTTCTACAATGTATATGTATTACTTGTGCAAAGTAAAAAACATATATTCATATTTTGGTAAGTTAAATTTGTGTGTGCACATGAGTACACATTTCAGGCTTCACCTAATAAAAAATATTTTTTTTTTTAATTTATTTTTCTTTTTTTTTTTTTTTTTTTGAGATGGCATCTCGCTCTATCGCCAGGCTGGAGTGTAGTGGCATGATCTTGGCTCACTGCAACCTCCGCCTCTCGGGTTCAAGCAATTCTCCTGCCTCAGCCTCCCAAGTAGCTGGGACTACAGGTTTGTACCACCACACTCAGGTAATTTTTGTATTTGTAGTAGAGACGGGGTTTCACTATGTTGGCCAGGATGGTCTCGATCTCCTGACCCATGATCTGCCTGCCTTGGTCTCCCAAAGTGCTGGGATTACAGGTGTGAGCCACCATGCCCAACCTATTTAATTTTCTTTTAAGAGACAGGGTTTCACCATGTTGCCCAGGCAAGTCTTGAACTCATGAAGCTGAAGAAATCTGCCTACCTTGGCCTCCCAATGTGCTGGGATTAAAGGCAAGAGCCACCAAGTCCAACTTCAGAAAGCAATTATTGAAAAGCCCCTGATTGTTGGGTGCAGTGGCTCATGCCTGTAACCACAGCACTTCTGGAGGCCAAGATGGGAGGACTGCCTGAGGCCAGACTTTGAGACCAGCCTGAGCAACATAGTGAGACACTGTCTCTACAAAAAATACAAAAATTAGTGGGTGTGGTAGTGCATGGCTATGTGCTCAGCTACTTGAGAGACTGAGGCAAGCAGACTGCTTGAGCCCAGGAGTTCAAGATTATAGCAAACTATGATGAAACCACTGCACTGCAGCCTGGGCAACAAAGTGAGACCCTGTCTCTAAAAATAAATAAATAATTTTTAAAAGAATGTACTTATTAGATAAGACAAGAAACAATACTATTTTAACCCACACACACAAAAAATACACACTAAAGAAAAAGATTAATAGAAGCAGAAAATAATACAGGGTTACTAGGGTTTGGAGGAAAGAACAAATAGGGATTATTTTTAAGTCTGTGTACAGACTATCTAGAATGATGAAAAATTCTGGAGCTGATGGTTGTACAGCGAAGTAAATGTACTTAATGCCACTAGTAAACATTTAAAAATAGTTAAAACGGTATATTTCACATTATATATATATATTTAAATAAGAATTTTTAAAAGGATTAATGTAAAAAAAGTTTTATAATCCTTCATTCTCAATAATTCAAAATTTCTACGTCTATGAGGAAGACTTATCATTATATAAACTCACATTTCTTTCAACACTATGAATGAGCATGTTATATTACATCCAAGAATATAATTCGATTAGCCAAACATCTAAAGTATGTCCAGAAATATAATATTTTCATTTTAATTTATAAAACTTTGAATTTATTTCCAGAATCCACCTAACAATTACAGGGTTCTTATCCAATCTGCAAATGATAGACTCTTAATATTCATTTTATTCCTTACTTTCATCCTCATCTCCACATTACCTGATTTGGGCTAATTCAACAATGTTAAACAACTCAGAAAATGTCCTGGGATAAGAGTTCTCACAAAATATTCTGATACTAAGTTGATTAGAAGAACAAATTTAAAATTTTGGGCAAAAGTAGGTTTTCTTATATCTTCACTCACTTAACTGAACAACTTAAAATCTGACTTCCTTAAAGAAACGAATACATCTTTAAACTTCCCTTCCCAACAGACACTTAAAATTAAAAACTTACAAAAGCAGCATGCTTTCCTCGAAGTCCTCTTGTACACTGTTGTCTCCATGGCTTCCAAATAATGAAGCCCAAAAGGTACAAAACAAACATAGAAGTTTTTGCAAAGGTGCTGAAGAATGGTTTGTTGTACTGGGTAAAAACATACTGTAGAGGAAAAAGTTACACAGACAACTATGAGATGACCTTAAATCTTATTATGCGTCTCCAAGATAAAGTCACTACATGATTTTAACTCTTTAGAAGTTCACTTGGAAAGGAAAAGTCAAAGGGATAACAAAAATATTTTAGATTCATTTCTGAATACTGTATTTATCTTGCATACAAAAGGATATCACCAAACAAAGCAGCAACAACCTCCAAAAATAAGTTTGTTTCAACATTCATTGAAACCCACTATGAAACAGTGCATATGCTAGGAGCTAAAGAAAAACAAGACAGGGCCACGCATGGTGGCTCACACCAATAATCCCAGCACTTGGGGGAGGCCAAGGCAGGCGGACTGCTTGAGCCCAGAATTTCAACACCAGCCTGGGCAACACAGCAAAACTCTGTCTCTACAAAAAAATAGAAAAATTAGCCAGGTGTAATGGCATGCACCCCATAGTCCCAACTACTTGGGAGGCTGAAGCAGGAGGATCCCTTGAACCCACAAAGGTTGAGGCTACGGTAAGCCATGATCAAGCCACTGCACTCCAGCCTGTACGGCAGAGCAAGACCCTACCTCATAAAGAAAAAAAGAAAAGAGAAATAAGGAAAGTTATCCTGCCCTTGGGAGGCTTAATATCTAATAGAGGAGACATATATATGAAAAGAGTACAGCATAATGTGCCAGGTACCAAGAGCAGGGTTCAGGATGCCATAAGACCACCAAAAGGAAAATCACAAATTTCAAGGTTATGGAAGTTTTTTCAGGTAGACTATTTTTTTGGTTTGTTTGTTTTTAGTATATTGTGAATATAAACTCACAATTTTTTATACCCTAAGAAAAGAAAATTCCTAGTTACATGCGCTAAAAAGGTGTAGAAAAAACATGACAACCCAGGAGGAACATGCAACTCTAGGAAGTATGGTGGTCAGCACCATTTTACACTAAAAGAAACGATGGCTCCAGGCTAGGTGCAGTGGCTCACAAGTGTAATCCCAGCACTTTGGGAGGCCAAGGCGGGTAGATCACTTGAGGTCAGGAGTTCAAGACCAGCCTGGCCAACATGGTGAAACCCTGTCTCCACAAAAAATACAAAACTTTGCAGCACATAAGGGCGCGCGCCTGTCATCCCAGGTCCTCAGGAGACTGCAGCAGAATTGTTTGAACCCTGGAGGCAGAGGTTACAGTGAGCCAAGAGGGCACCATTGCACCATTGCAGCCTGGGCAACAGAGTGAGACTCTGTCCCCCGCCTCCTCGAAAAAAGAACCAAAAAAGAAACAATGGCGCCTACAAAAAATGGTCAAATCCATGTATGGAGCAGAAAATGTACAAGATGAGCCCAGGGCATCTTGTGGTGGAAAGAAAGTGTTAAAGATTAATAAGATGCCGGGCACAGTGGCTCATGCCTGTAATCCCAGCACTTTGGAAAGCCAAGGTGGGTGGATCACTTGAGGTCAAGAGACTGAGACCAGCCTGACCAACGTGGTGAAACCCAGTCTCTACTAAAAATACAAAAATTAGCTGGGTGTGGTAGCAGGCACTTATAATCCCAGCTACTCAGGAGGCTGAGGCAGGAGAACTGATTGAACCCAGGAGATCGAGGTTGCAGTAAGCTGAGATCTCACCATTGCACTCCCGCCTGGGTAACGAGTAAAACTCCAACTAAAAAAAAAAAAAAAAAAAAAAAAAGAAGATTAATGTGGTCATATTAAAAAGACTTAAAGAATTCCAGCTAATCAATGTAAAAATAAATACAAAAGAACTCAAAAAAAAAAAAATCACCATTTTGCAAATCCTAATGTAATACTCTATCTGGACAACTTAAACATGTGGATATTCAATTATTACCTAAAAGTTGATGAGGAACTTTACAGTACTTAAACTGGCATCACCTAAAATGAGACTTGAAGTCATTATGTATGTCAGGCTGGAATAAGCAGCACTCAGTACCCCAAAGTATTCTTTCCTAAAAACTAAACCTAAATCAAGACTTTACACCTAACTACCACTTTACTACCACATTACTAAATGGTGACATTGTTTTGCATCCTGATAATTATTTCACTAGAAAGTATTTACAGAAAGAATTTAAATTTAGAAAAAAAGCCAAGAGAAATACTTTCAAATATTAGAAAATATGCATACAATCTATCTAAGTAATCCTCCTTAAAGATACAAGAAAATTATATGAAATAATAAAAAAGATCATCCTTTCAGTTTTAACTTGAAGTGGCAATAATTCACTATTTAAAAAAAAAAAAAAATTTAACAGCATTTAAGATACTGCTTTTAGAAAGCAGGGGATTGTAATGGCTACAGTTACTACAGGTTAACAGTAACACTGTGGCGGTAATGTAACATTCCTGGACCAAAGATACATACCGAAGTAAGTTCAGAGGAAGCAACCCATATGACATCAACAAGCAGGAGAATAACAATCCCAAGAGCCATTCGCCTGCGCTGAGTGAAGCCACTGTTCTGGGAATTCAGTCGGTTCATGATAAATACACACACCATTTGCAGTCTGTTTTTTTAAAAAATACAAATCACATTAGAGATGATTTTAGAAAAATATCCATTAAAAATAAGACAAGATAACAGAAACATCTGACATTCGATAGCTAAAGTTCAGTGTGAAAGTTACATAGTGGATAAACGTGGAATTTACCTCGTCTTAAGAGCCTTTCTGAGATCTTCAAGAGCAATGCGGCAAAACTTGGCAAATCTCAGTCTAAAAGGAGGTGAAGAACTCAGCGCCCCTAAAAACAACCACAAAAATGATGCTATGAAAATGTCAACAACTTCAAGGTTAGATTTATCACATCGTTTTTCACTCTTCACCTTCAAACTGAAAGCAAATGGAAGAAAAGGACCAAAATGTGTTAAACATACTTGCCACCTTTCTCTATACTTTCATGGTACCCACGGTACGCTTCAGATTTCACTTAGAGAAACACACGACACAGGGTGAAAAAAATGATATTCAACATATGGCAGATTTAAGAATAGTTAACTAATGGAAAATAGCTTCTCCGCGTTTCACAAATACAGAACTCCATTCACCTCTCCCTCCAGAGGAATCCACCCCTAGGGACGGCGTCTAGACACTGTTTCTAAAAGTGTCTTTTCTGTCCCTGACCTCCTGGAGTGGAATTTCGTTATCGGAGAGTAAATGATTTGTTGTGAGTCTTGAAGGCACCTTTCCAATCTCCTCACGTGGTAAGAGAAAAGGATTCTCCACGCTCCCCCACCTACTCCTGTCAATACATCCAATCATTTTAGAAGAAACAGCTGGAAAAAGGAAGCCTCTTCCTTTTTTGGACCGGGAAAGTAATTTAAGGCAGCGACGCCTCCCGGGGAAGCCGAGGCAAGGGCACAAGCTCGGCTTCCTAGATTAACAGGGTGGGCGCCGGACTGGAGCGCCCCTGTCAGCTCCCGCTCCCTCCGCCCCTGGAGACCTTCAAGGTTTTAGTCAAGGCGCTCTGGCTGCCACCAAGGGCTGGAGGTGGTGCTGTTGGTAGGCACTCCGTCCGGGTTTGGGCTCCAGTGATGTCGGGGCCCTTCCCTGCCTGCCTACCTGGCCTTCCTGCCCCGCGATGGCGTCGTGGCGGCACCATGAGCGGACCCGGGCCAGGCCCCGTAGCCGCTCAGCGCCACGGCCGCCTCCTCGGACTCACAGAGCCGTCACGGCACCTGACATCGCGCCACACTGGAGGCCCAGCTCCTGAAGCCGCGGTGCCCCTCAGGGAGACGCCGCCGACACCACCCAACCCCACTCGGCCCAGGAGGGCGGGGAGCGCGTGAGGGGAAGGGACGGCGCAGGCAGCTATGGCCGCGGAGGCCGCGAGCTCTGCCCTGGCCCCGGCCCCGCCCCCGGCTGGCCAGCCCCGCGGCCCCGCCCCCGAGCCCGAAGGTGGTGGCGCGCCTGACGTCATGGAGGTGCGACGGCGGACAGCGCCGGGGTCGCGTACTTAGTATGGCTAGGCAGAGCCAAGGGAAATAATGCGAGGCGCTGGGCACCGAGCGACGATACATGGTGGCAGTGCGAAAGGAGCGAAGAGAGGAAGAAGGGAAGTCGGGCGAGGTGGAGGAAGAAGAGGGAAGCGAGCGTGGGTGTCTGGGGCAGAGCGATGGACGAGGGAGTGGCCAAACCTCCAGATGGCTCGCCCTAGAACGAAAGCTGGCAGCTCCGTTTCCCAAACTGCGAACCTGAAATTTTGGATATCCCTTTCTCCATGAGAGGACCTAAACACGAAGTGGTTTAGAGTGCTTTTGTTTCCTGAAAGCTTTTGTATATAAACAAGATCTCGGCTCTAGGAGTTACAGGCTACATCCTAGGGAAAGCTATTTCAAGTTTTCTGGCCTTCTTCCTCGTCTAAAAATGGAGATAATGATAGTACCTGCCACATCTGCTTTTTTGTGTGTATGCTAGGGTTGCATGAGTTTACATATGTGAAGGACTTAGATCAATTCATGGCTCATAATAAGAACCTCACAAACGTTAGCAATTTTTTGTTCGTTTGTTTTGAGACAGGGTCTCACTCTACCATCCAGGCCCGAGTGCAGTAGCACAATCTCAGCTCGCTGCAACCTCCGTTTCCCGGACTCAAGTGATTCTCCAGCCTAGCTTCCAGTGTAGCTGGGATTACAGGTGCAGGCCACCAACCCCTAGCTAATTTTTATACTTTTTAGTTGAAAGTATAAACAAATGGGGTTTCGCCATATTGGCCAGGCTAGTCTCGGACTCCTAGTCTCAAGTGATCCGACAACCTCGACCTCGCAAAGTGCTGGGATTACAGGCCCACTACGCCCTGCCAAATGTACAGATTTGTTAAACTGTATAGATTTCTTCCTTAAATATTTTGACTATTCCATTAGAAAAGTTTGTACAGCATCCTGATTTCTATCTAGAAAACAAAATCAAGACTAAAGAGCTCTATAATTTAACATCTTGGTCAGATGGTGTGAAGAAATTACATTTTCTTACTCCTATAGTCACGATGCAGTGTACCTCTTATCTTTTAAGTCTTGTTTCAGTGAAGTTGAATGCATATTCTAGCAACTAATAAAACAATACCAATGAACATTTTTAATTGATCAAAACCGTTTCAAATAAACTATCAGCATCGAATACCTCTAATAAATCATTAAGAAATCTATTGTGCAGAATAAAAAAAATCTTAACCAAATACTTGGTATTATTACTTAAGGGAAATTTGGTTGCAGACATTAGTCAAATTATTCTAGCACCAGTTTCTTTAGTTCATTAGCATTTTTTAGGGTATCAGCTCGTAAGATGCCTATGAATTCTTTATGCTACATTGTTGATGTATAGTCTGAAAAAATAGCATAAATGTCTCTCAGAATCTGGGTCAAGAAAGCTAGATGACAATTCTTAATCTGCTTACAATTTGTTTTGTAATCTTGGGAATTATTCCGCTCTCTACTGTGCCTCAGTTTCTTCTATAAATATTGGTTTCTGAATTAAAATGCAAATGATAGTACTTTGTAAGTTACCATTATGACCACCTGTCTCCAGATCATCTGTTAAAGGACAAGCTGTGGATATTCTCGTAATGGATAAAGTAATTCTGGCAGACTGTCTTCAGCTAGTCTGAAAACCTAGATTAACTTCCATTAATATCTTTTCCCCGGGTTCTTTAAGGGAAATTCCACTGGACTGCTGTAGCAATAGGCCCTAGTGTGTTTCTGTGCTGTGGCATCATCCTGAGCATCTCAGGCATTCCTTTTTTTTGTCCCTATGTCTATGTCTTGCCCAAGGCTAAATCTTCATATAATTTCAAATATAAGTTCCACAAGAGCAAGGATTTTGGTCCATTTTGTTCTTCACTATTATCCTCCACATGTGGAATATTGCCTACCATTCTATAGCTGGCAGTTAATGTTTGTTCAATGAACTGGAACATCTTGCTGTCTCTTGATCTTTTCCTTGTTCTTAATTCCTTTCCTAGGTCTCCATTTCTGTTATTTAGTGGTGAGAAAAGAAAATAATTTTTATCTGAGGAATGTAGTTCTTTTAAATTGTCAGGCCCAGAGGGACATTAAAATGAGACAACAGTCACAGCCTCCTTCTCTTGAGCTATGTATTCATCTCTTGAAACTGCTTGCTTATGCCACAGGTAGCTATAAATTAACCTAATGTCACATTGGACAGTATAACCCACATCCTATAGCTTAACAATGTAACCAATCACTAATAAGTGTTATTGCCATAAACCAATAAGAATTATTGTACACACCTTGGTATCAGCCCACTCCTTGTCCTCTTTTTTGCCTTTAAAGATTCACTTGCGATGGCTACTGATTGGTGTGTATATTCAAGGCAACTTGAATCTATGCTCCTAAGCTGCAATCTTCAAGCTTGGCCTGAATTAACTCTGTGTATATTAATTTTGCTTCAGCTTCTTCCTTCTAGGTCAACAGAGTAGCACTATTTTTCTAAGTCCCACAGGCTTGATCTTTTAATTTTATTCATTTTCTTTTTGCTCTTCAAAGTTGATCACTCTTGAAATCTCTCAATAGTAGACCCTTAAGATACATCAGATGTTAAGTCTGACACCTTCAAAAAAAAATCCCTCAAAATATACTCTAGAGAATATAATTTCCCCAGTAAGGTTCATGTGTTACAGTATGTATATAAAAACAAAGTTGTGTGTGTGTACAGGGCAGTCACTGTCACGTATCAGTCTCAACCCTAATACAATTCAAATTTAAACCCAATAAAATTATAAATGACTATGTCTTGAGTCTTTGGGGGTCTAAATTAATCATTAAAACCACCTATAATAATTCTGTAACTCCAAGAGCAGAAATAAATGGAGAACACTCAAATGAGTACAAGTAAAGGATATTTATTCAAAGCTTGCCGTAGCAAGGCAGTCAGCCACCATCACTTGTGTTTGTCAGACTGGAAAGCAGGCAGAGAAATGTGAAAGCTTTATAATGCAACAAAAGGAAAGACTTCAGGTATGCCCTGATTTGATGTTGTTGGCATGGGGAAGCTGGAGGCAGGTTAAGTGGAAGCATGGCATCCTATGTGGTCAGTTAGGGGTACATATTTGGCTTTCTCTGGTTGGTACTAAGTTGGAAACAGGACAAAACCTAAGGAAACTGGCAGTTGATCAATTCAGAGATTGCTACTGCAGAGATTGCTGTGTCTTTCTGCACTGGTTCCTGGAGAGGTTGTAGGTCAGAGTTCTATTTTTATGTATACTCTGATCATTGTCCATTTCTATATTCAGTCTGTCACAAGAGTCTACTGTATGTCATCTTATTTTCTGTAGTACCTACCAGAATGCTGGGCACATGATCAGCTTGACAAATGTTTGTTGACTTGATTTCTTTCTAAAATGTAGTTAAATGGATTGAGGTTAACATTTTTTTTAAATTATTGTATATAAAAGACTTAGTTTGAATTTGAACCTTACTACATTTTTTTTTTTGAGATAGGGCCTCTCTCACTCACTCTTCAGGAATGTCATGGCTCAATCTCTGCTCACTGCAACCTCTGCTTCTAAGGATTAAGTGATTCTCCTGCCTCAGCCTCCCACGTAGCTAAAATTACAGGTACGTACCACTACCACCTGGATAATTTTTGTATTTTTAGTAGAGACAGAGTTTTTCCATGTTGGCTAGGCTGGTCTCGAACTCCTGATCTCAAATGATCCACCCGCCTCAGCCTCCCAAAGTGCTGGGATTGCAGGAATGAGCCACCTTACTACATTTTATGGAGTAAATCATGCTGTAGTGAACATAATAGCTTGGGAGGTTCTAAGATATCTAAGGTATTAAGGGTTATTGCATGCAATCGAGTCATAGGCTTCAAGGAGTTTACTGGCAAGCTGGACAAGTAATATATTCACAGAGATTTGAATAAAAGTTCCAAACATCCACAGAATAAGCATCCCTAGGCAGTGTTTGCTTGATGATGGCTACTAATCAGTGTGTATATTCAAGGCAACTTGAATCTATGCTCCTAGGTTGCAATCTTCAAGCTTGGCCCAAATTAACTCTGCTTATATTAATTGTGCCTCACCCAAATATGAACCCCACTGAATGCCATGCCCTTGAGGGGATGGACCAGAGTCCTAGAATGACCTATTCAGGTATATATTGATAAAGAAGACTTTTAAAAAGTGGTGGAATCCAAGTTTTATTTCAATGATGGGTAAGATTTTACTAAGGGGGGAAGAGGATTTTTTTCCAAGTGAGTAAAACTATTATGACAAAGAAAAAAAAAAGATGTGTTCAGAGGCAAGTATAAAACTGGTTTGGCATATTTGCAGAGACGCAGTGGGAAATAAGACAGGTCAGGTGAGTTCTGTAGAGACTGAAGCATGCTTTGGAGACTAGGCAAGAGAGTTTTTAATTTGTATGTGATGAAAACCTAAGGGTATTTAAGTAAGAGAGAAAGGCTTTCAGTAGATTAGAAAGTACTGAGTGTCCACTTGATGTCTACCCAGTGAGGTGGTATTGTGGAAGTACTACAAAATGCATGGAGCCTGCCCTTAGGGAAATCACGTTAACAGACAAAACTGATTATCGAAGTGGGTAGGTATTTGCTAAGTTAGAAGATACTGAATCTAAATGTACTTCTCTAGTATCCTCCATCAAAGTAATATATTTTGGGTAAAATACTTCGAGTTCCTTCAAGGCCCACTATCTGTCATGTGATGCTATACTAGAGTCAGGTTGAAATTTGGTGTCTACAAAAGTGTGTTTCATCAGTCTTAAGATCTCTATGTTAATGTTAATGCTGGTCAGCTGTGCCTGAATTCCAAGGGGAGGAGGGTATAATGAGGTATGTCTGACCCTCACTTCCCATCATGGCTTGAAATAGTTTTTCTGGTTAAGTTTGGAATATCTTTGGCCAAGAGAAGGGGTTGATTCAGTTGATTAGGGAATTCTATTTTTGGTTTACATCTCTTGGTACTCTGTACCATGCTGCAAACCAAATCAATGCTAATTTTGAAAATGAACTCACTTGAGTATCATTTTTTATTGTT